CTGTCCATGGGAGGTCCTTGGAAGACCCTGAAGTTTTGGGTCATCCCTGGTCACTGCCAAGGCCTCCAGTGTCTCAGTTTATGATTCTCTCAGTTCCAATAGGCCACTAGCTTACATGCTCACCCTTGGGACATATGTCTCTTTGTTGAGGCTGGGAACCCCTCGCCATTCCTTTTTGAGGTCTGGCCATTTCCAAGGGTGGGAGTGGAGTTGTCAGGTGGCAGAGCACAGGTCCCAGGTTCCAGGGCTTGAAGGAGCCTGGAGCCCTCCCCCAGCCTGAGGACATCTTTCAGCCTGGGGAAAACCACCACTGCCTAGGGCCACCTCCTTCCTCCCTCTACATCAAATCACCTCAGGGAGGTAGACTTGAAAACAAAACCAGGAAGGAAAAGTGTTTTGCAGGCATCTTCCTTTTTCAGCTGGCCACACACCTCCTCCCACAAAGGAAACAAGAGCCTGCTACCTGCCTGAGGGGGAGGAAGGAGGCAATGTGGGGATAAATCCCACATGAATATGACAAAAGATTATCCAAACTGAGAAGCACAATGATTGGGCAATGTCATAAAAACTGCAGGTTAGACAGGAAATCTGTGGGCAGCACACAGATGCTGACAGGGTCTGGACAACATACAATCTGCAACACCTGTTCACTCCACCTGTTTATGCTTCAGTGAGGACCATCTTAGTGCCAACCACGGATCCATTGATCAATAACATTTTACCTTATTTGATTTGCTCTACTCGCCTTTACATAGATATGGAGATATATGTATATGTATGTGTGTGTATATATATACATATATATACATATATATATGAAGATATCTGTATATAGTATCTTATCTCTTTGTATCCATTCTTTTTTTGATCAACCAAAAACAAGTTACAGACATCAAGACATTCAACTCTAATTACCTCAGCATTCCTCTCCTAAGAATATTGACACTTCCCTACATGACCAGTTATTATTGCACTATTTAACAATACCGCTGTAATATTACCTAGTATCAGCCCAAACTCAACTTTCCCAATTATTCCAAAAATATCTTTCATAGCTCTTTTTAATTTTCTGCTCCAGTATCCCATATTATTTTTGATTGTTTTATCTATTTAGTCTCTTTTAATATAGAATAATTCTTCCCAATACTATCTTTCTTCTGTTTTTTCCATTCCATGGATTTTTTGGAGAGTCCAGGCCAACTGTTTTGTAGAATGCCCCATATTCTGGAGAGGATTATTTCCTTATGGTTTTGTTTATCTTGTCTCCGTGTCTACTGTATTTCCCGTAAACAGGAAGTTAGGTTAAACATTTTTGGAAAGAATACTACTTTGGGAGCACTAATCCCATTATTAGTGATGTTTGATCACTTGGTTATTGTGGTAACTGCTCGATTTCTTCTTTATAAATGCATAACCTTCCTCTTACAGTCAGTAAGTATTAATCTGTGGGACAATCCTTGGCGTTTATGTGAAATCCTTCTCCCCAGCGACCCTTTGCTCAGCAGTTTTAGCATCCGCTAATAATCCATGACTCGGTTCATTGTTACACTTGGGGCTGCAAGTGGTGATTGTCTCATCTATCATTCCTTCTACATTTATCGCTCTGTTAAGATCAACTTTTCCTTGTTCCCCCCTTTTTCTTATGTTTTGTTCATGTGACAATGATGATGATGCCCTGTTTTAAAAATTATTACATTATAATCAATTAACATTATTCGACATGCAAATTGTCCCAAATTTGGCTAGTAAGAAACTTTCAAGCTGACTCCTGTATCCATTTTTTTTTAAAGCTTTATTAAGAAATAATTCACCTACTGTGCAATTTGCCTGTTTACAATATACAATTCCTGGTTTTTAGTTTATTCACAGAATTGTGAAACTTTAGAACATTTTATCACCCCAAAAAGAAATCTGTTGCCAATTCCTTAGTGGTTACTTCCCATTCACCCCAGATGCCTCAGCCCTAAGCAACAATTATTCTACTCTCTCTCTCAAGACTCGCCTATTGTGGACATGGCATATTAATGGACTCATGTAACAGGGTCTTTTGCAAATGACTTCTTACACTTAGCAGTATATTTTCAAGGTTCATCCATGTTATGAAGTATGCTTCATTTTTATTTTTATTGCCAGATAATATTCTATTTATGACTATACCACATTTTACTTATTTATTCATCAGTTGATAAAATTTGAGTTGTTTCGCTATTAAGAATAATGCTGCTATGAACACTTATGTTACAAGTGTTTGTAATTGCTGGCCCACATGGCAACTCGATATCTAACCTTTTATACAGGCAGCTAGGCTGTTTTTCAAAATGCCTGCACCACACATTCCTACAGCAAAGTATGAGGATTCCAATTTCTCCACACTGTCACCAACACTTGTTATTACCTTTTTTTAAATTAAAAATAACTTAATAGAGGTAAACTAATATATCATTGCTGTTTTGATTTGCATTTCCATTAGGCTAATGATACTGAGTTCATTTTTTTCTCCAGAGACCTTTGGCACTTTCAAAATTTCATGTCTTATTTTCTTATGTTATAGCTTTGTTTTACTGTTTTCTCCTTTGGTGACTCTGATGATACATTGGCTGTTCTTTGTCTATATTCTGTATCTCTCACTTTCTGATTATTTTTATTTCTTTTCCTAATTTATTTGTTTATTGTTTAAAATTTTTTCCAATGTCTCGTACTGAATTCTTAGCCTAACCCATTTTCCCTTGGATACCATGTAATTTAGTTTTCACATCTTAAGATTATTTTTTTCTTCTATTTCCTTCCTGAATTCAGTGGATCCTCATTTTATAGCTTTTCATTTTGTGTCCATTTCTATTTCGAGCTTTTAAATATCTGATTTTTTAGATTCTTTACATCTGCCATTGCTTGCTAAGGGATATTTAACTCATGTCAAGAGTGTTGTGTTACAGTTTTTCTCTGCTTTTTGGTTGTATTTCATTAGCAAAAAATGGTTTCACCGTTTTGTTATTATAGTTGCTTTAGATGGATGTCAGTTGCTGTTTTCTGTTTACTTCAAAAAGTCTAAATCTTCCTGACCCAGAAATAACAAATGTTTCTACTGAGGGTAGATGATCTTAGTGGGATGCCTAAGAGGGCAGGTCAAGGTTGGAGTAAGATGTTGGAAGGAAGGAAGGAAGGAAGGAAGGAAGGAAGGAAGGAAGGAAGGAAGGAAGGAAGGAAGGAAGGAAATCTCTTGGGGGGGGAGGGAAATAGTAGAACATATTAGTGTGAGCATTTTAAAACAAACTACTGGGAGAAATATGACACATTTAATGGAAAAATAAGCATAAAAACAATGAAATCTATGAAAACATCATTAGCTTCAGAAAAACAAAAAGTTGTAAGAGAAAGGAAACATAACCATATTATAGAACTTGGCTCAGCAGTAAACAATATTCACAAAGTCATAATGACTTTTACTTAAATTATGAAAACTGTGATATAGCAAATATCAGGTAGACGAGAGAAAATGGGAATGAGGCTATAATAGGGCTAAATCCTCAGCTAACATAATACAAGTCAACAGCTCAGGTCTCTGATTCATAAATCAATAACATCATTTAAAATATATAAAAATAACAGAAGAAAGCTACAAAATTGGAAGAAAAATATTCTAATAAAGGACACTAAGAGGGCTGAATGGACTGTAGAATCCTTTGAGTTGTGAGTCTCTTAGTACGACATGATTTTTTATAAAAGGATATGTGGATATATCACTTTAACAATTTAAAAATGTAATTTTTGAAAAACTAGTTCAAATGCCATCTGGGAGACAGTACTCTGAGAGTTTGTAGTATTGTCTTGGTGTACACTCTGAACCAAGGACCAATTTCTTGCACAGCAAAATGCAGCTGTCAGTGAACCAGCTGGTGAAAGTGGGTATGGCACCTCAAAGTATACCTGATTATTATTCTTCAAAATGAATTCTCCCCTTTCCCTCACATCAGCTTGGTTAGACACTTTGGAGAAGTACTTTCACCAGAGTCTATAATAGTGGTTCCTACTCACTGACAACTGAGATGGATGGGGTCTCCTAATGCCACTGGAGGTTACAGTGTTGGCTGGTGACTGGTCCTGCCTATTAAGGGAATAGTGGAGTATGACTAGAACCCAGGAGGTCTCCTAGGGCACCTCCCCACTCCTGACACATATACAAATTCATGAAAAAGTCCTAAGCTACATACTGGCGGGCCCAAGACAGATGCTTCGAGAATGAAGATTTTGGTAAGCCCCACCAGGTAAAGTATCCTGGCCAGCTTAATCGTAAGTGGAACCTGGAATGGGTAGTGGAGAAGGAAAATCATAAATGCCAATGCAGGTTCATTACCAGTTGCAAAAATGAGGATTGTGGCTTCTACTGGTATTTCCTTTCTTGCTGTATCATATATAGTTTCTAGAGATCACCCTTTTCTTTTATTACTTCATTTAAAGTATATCAGCGAGGGCTAACTTTAAAATTTAGTCCACACCTTATAACTCTGAGACAGAATGATGATACAACTTAGAGGAACAATGTGCATCATCGCCTACAGATTTGGACTTGGGACCAGCTAAAATAACTGATGAAACTTTGAGTTGTCCTCTTTTGCGGGGGGAGGGGGTGAGAGCATTTTTATTTAATATTGAGAGCATGACCCTTTCCCCACCTCAGCCAGATGGTGGTTTTCCTGTGCCCCAGGATTCCGCTAAGCAGTAAGAGCTAGAGTTGCATCATCAGGCTCCTAAACACTGCTGGAGGGAGAGGAGAGGAAGAGGATGTGGTAGACAGGGATGTGCATCATGGCCTGTCACAGGCTGATTCCCACCTCCCCTTGGGCGCCATACCTCCATCACCGATTTTTGCATCAGACGGCAGCTCAGAAAGTGACTACGTAGCTCCCAGCTCACTTACCCACACACCTCCTAAGCTTTCCGAGCCCGCCTAAGTCCCACCTTCATCCTGAAGCTGATCCCAACCCCACGCCTGGAGACCTCACCGTCATCCACAGCGCAGGCCTCATAACACTTGTTCAGATCTCCATCACATTCCCGGTTGTGTTGATGAGAATGTAAACAAACGCACTAAGACAGCAGGACCGCCTCCCTGGCAGTGTCGCAAAAACGAATGTCTGAACGCACGACTCAGTGCGCAGCCTACGTGCTGGGAAAGAGGACCCAGGATAGCTACCCCTACGCGCCGCGCCAAAGAACGCGCCCTGCACGAGAACGCGCCCTCGCACGACCCCGCGGCACTTGAGAAAAGCACACAGCAGTAGCGACCGCGGAAGGCAAAGGGAGAAGACGAGATCCCGAAAAAGGTCCTTCTCCCATACGCCAAGACCACACCAGAAGGTGGGCTTTTCTTGCAGAAGCGGGCCGTGCATTGGTCAATCCTCTAAACTGAGGGCTGGGATTGGCAGCGCATCTAAAAAGTCGCCATCCGCGTGGAGGCGGGACCGGTACGAAGGGCGTGGCCGGCGCTGGGTTTCGCCCCGGACTTTTGGGCTCCGGCCGGAGCGTTGCGGATTGCTCCTGGACCCTCGCTTCGGGGCCGGTGTTTGCGGCTGTTGGGGCCGCGGGCCCGGTTTGGGCGTCCGAAACGTTCGAGGCGCGGTAGGTGGTGGCCGACGTGTGGGGACGGGAGTTTCGCGGCTCTGGAGGTGGTGGCCCAGTCATTCCCCGCCCGCGCAGCCCTGCCCCCTGTGGTCAGCATTCTGTCTGGGTCTGTGAGGCCGGGCAGAGCGGAAGGGCCGCCGAGCTTTACGTCCGCTACCTGAGGGTGGGGGCGCCCCGTGCCTTTGCCTCCATTTTGCAGATGGATCGGCGGGTGAGGAACTCGGACGCGGAAGCGGGAGGCCGGGATTGCGGAGGGGTGTGGTGGAGAGCGAGCGTGTGGCCACGCATCCTCGCTGCCGCACCTCTGGTGGGCTTCTGTCTCGGGGGAACTCACTTTTAGGCCCTTGCCTGTTTACCCTGCTCCTACGCCGGGACCCACATACCCCTGGAGTAAGGGAGTCCGACCCAAGCCAACGCAGAGATCCTCTCTCACCACCTCGGGGGCATTCCCACTGGAAAGATGGACCCGAATGATGCTTTCTTTTTGCCTTGAATGCAGCTGTTCAGGGCTGCCAAGGGGAAAACGCAAGATATCCTACTCATGCCCAGAAGGGTCACCATTTCCAATTGTCATCACTCGAACACTAAGCAACCCAAGGGGCACGTGTCCAAAACCTGTTTCAGGCCCTTTATAATTACTAGGTTGAGTTCGGTGTATTGTTTGTAATAAAAAGGAGCGGAATCCTGCCAGAGCACGTTGGCCTCAGAGGGAATTCACTGGAGAATGGGGGGAGGCGTCCAGAAGGTAGATAGCTTTCATAAATACCCTAACAGTTCCAAGATTTAGGGTTTGAAGAATGTTGTTAAAATGTATGACAAAGTGTGTCTGTCCAGTTGAGAAATGAAGGTTCTAGGGCTTGGTTAAAAGAAGTAGAGGTCACCAGTTGGATCAACCAGTCCTGGGCCACTCAGTGCAGAAAGGAGCAAAGAACTCCGTTTCACCTCTTTGGAGAAGCTTTTTAAAGGTCTTTCCCCTTCCCACAAATAATAATCACTTCTTTCTTTAGGCTACCTTCTATTGATATATTGTGGTTTTCCCAGCCCCTAGCACAATGCTGGGAAGTCAGTGACTGAAGGAGGGCTAAAGAAAACAAAACAGCAGCATAGCCAAAATGTTCACAAAACAAAAACGTTAGTTTTTAAAAGACTTACTCTTAGAGAGAGAGAAGGGAGGTAGAGAGAGAGAGAGAAACATACATCAATGTGTGGGAGCAGGCCCCCAGCTGGCAACCCAGGCATGTGCCCTACTGGGAATTGAACCACTGACCCTTTGGTTCACAGGCTGGCGCTCAATCCACTGAGGCACACCAGCCAGAGCTAACTTAATTCTTTTAACTTGTTGGACCAATTATTCTTATAGGGTAGGGAGTCTGTTAAGCTCTGGTTTCAAGTCAAATCATACTTTAGTTCTTCCATGTTACTAACTCTAGACAAGTAATTAAAGTTCCCTGTGCCTCAGTTTCCTCATCTGTAAAACAGGAGTTATAATAGTACATACTACTCCATGGGTTTTGAGGATTAAATAAAATATTGACATAAAGTGCTTAGCATAGCTGTTAGCAGTTGTTAGGATAAAAATAAACAGATTCTTGAACAGATTCACTAATACTAAATATCTGCATAGTACCTGACCCTTCAGGATCTGTCTGCGTTTGGTTCTATGTGTTTTCTTGATTTTTAAAAAATCCCTTAGCCCAGGCTGGTGTAGCTCAGTGGATTGAGCACGGGCCTGCGAACCAGACAGTCGCAGTTCGATTCCCAGTCAGGGCACATTCCTGGGTTGCAGGCCAATTCCCAGCAGGGGACACACGAAAGGCAACCATACGTTGATGTTTCTCTCCCTTTCCCTCTAAAGATAAATAAATAAAATCTAAAAAATTTTTTTAAATCCCTTAACCAGGAACGTCCAACCTATGGCCCACGGGCCCAGGATGGCTAAGAATACGGCCCAACACAAAATCATAAATTTACTTAAAACCTTTTTTTTTGCTCATCAGTTTTTATTAGTATTTGTGTACTTAATATGTGGCCCAAGGCAATTCTTCCATTGTGGGTCAGAGACACCAAAAGGTTGGACCCCCCAGCTTTAACCTTTTCAGAGCCCAACCCATCCCCCCTCAGTAAAAGTGCATGCAGGCATACCTCGTTTTATTGTGCTTTACAGATGTTGTGTTTTATACAAATTGAAGGCAGGACCCTTCAAGCAAAAAGATTACAACTCGCTTTCTTGCCATCCTCATTTTATTGCCATCACCTGGAACTGAACCCGCAGTGTCTCCAAGGTATGCCTGTATTCCATAGAAAATAAGCTCTTCACGCTTTTAGTCTCACTACCCACTAGAGACTGATGAAGTGCCAAATAACATTTGCCGAATATTATAGTAGTACTGGGTATACTCAAAACGTGGTCTCTTAAAATGAGCAGCTGAGTAAATCAAATGGGACCTGGTGTGGCTGACAAAAAAGAGATTTTAGGATGGTTGGCTCAGCCAGAAAGAGGCAGAACTTGAGGAGGTGGGCCTGGAGTGGCTTCTTTCCTTATAACAAATCTGATCTCCTGAAAAAAATGGTTCCTGTCTTTTAAGTTGTTCATAAACATTTTGAAAAGTGGAAGAAGTCTCCGGTTGGTTTTAGACCTATTTGCCAGACTTAGAGGTGGCAGATACACTCCCTAGGCCTGGGGGATATCGCCTCACTTCCAGGTTTTCCTGTACCACTATCTGGTTGCAGGAAACAGGCTGTTACACATTTCCTTCCAGGTGTAGGTCCCCTTTGCACATCAGTTCCTCTTAAATACAGAGTTCCCAAAACAAAACTCCTCCTCACTTATAACTATTACAGAAGAATTCTGATCTGTGATTCTGCTTTTACTGTAGCCACAAAGAATCTTGAGTTCTTTCTAGGGAATGCTGTACTTTCTGGGGACTCTCATCCGGCCGTGATATTCTGTAATTAGCCATTAAAAACCTGCCACAAGATGTGAGCTTTTTCTAGCGACCTGTTGGAAAGATAAGGACAGGATAAATTTCCTTCTGTGTGGTGGGCATAAGTAAGATAGGCACTCAGTGAAAGCATGTAAGGCCATTCTAGTTCTGCTTCACAGTGCTAAACAGGCTTATGAATCTGGTGGTTCTAAAACATTGTGCTTACCGGTCATCTGGAGAGCTTGCTAAAGTGCAGGCTCTGATTACAAGGCTATGGAGTAGGGCCTGAGAATCTGCATTTGCAGTAAGCCCTACAGTGATGTAGAAGCTGCTGGTCTATGGACCACACTTTGGGTAGAAAGAGACTAACATAAGTATTTGCATTTGCTTTTTTTTTTAAGTTTTTTTTTTTATTTTATTGATTTGAGAGATAGACTTGTTTTACCCATTTGTGCATTCATTGGTTGATTTTTGTATGTGACCTCACAGGGGACTGAACCCTTAACCTCGGTGCATCAGAACCAGTGCTCTAACCAACTGAGGTATGCGGCCAGCTTTTCAGAAGTACTAATAAACAGGTTTTGTTTTCTTGTAGTATTGGGATAAAGTCTTAGATATAGTACCCTTTTTCCCCCCATTATTCTGTTTCTTAACATTTCCTCTGTTTTGTTCCAAAAAATAATTTGAGGAATCTTCCCAAGATCCTTTCCATGTAATAAGATTTTTAATAAAAGCAATTGAGGCAGATAGGGTGAATGAAAAGAAGTCCAGGCTGAGGGCAGTACAAAAATGAGTGCCTTTTTGCCCTATAGATTTTGCTTGGGTAGTACTGCATATCTGCCCCTGAGCTTCACCAAAGCAAAGAGGAAAAACATTTTTTATCAGTTTTACCAATAACTATAAAGTAAAAACCACTGGCTGCTCAGTGAAATGGCTCTTTCTCTTACTGAGACTAGAGAATTCTTGTCCTGTGAGTTCTCTAATAGGTTTTGGTACTTGAATGACACTCTTCATGGCATCTCTTTAGAGAATCGGTAAGTTTCTTATTCTTCATATATATAGTCTGAAGGACTCACAGTGAACTGTCAGTACAGTGAAGCAGTAGCCTGTGGAACTGGTCCAGGGACAGCAGGAGCAATTTTTGTTCCAGGGCAGCTGTTTTTCTGCTGTGCTTTTTGGTGAGAACAGAGGGTACAGTTGACTAACGTTCATTCCTCACCATTCTTGTTCTTTGACTGCTGAGGAGGCCTCTAGAGCCTAGGGTTGAAGGGAGAGGTGGCTAAGAGCTCAGTCCTAAATTTCTTGTAGATGTGGCCATTGCATTTCTTTAAAGGCTAACCGAAGACCACTCAGGACAAGTTGGAAGGTTGTGAAGCTGTCCGGTGGTCCCAGTCAGTCAGCCACCTGGTGAGAAGGTGAAGGAGGGGGAAGGAAGGGAAGAGCAGCTTGGCAACAGCCTTCCCACTGCATCGATCTGGAGGGGCCCAGTGGCTCCTCCCAGGGAGGAGGCACTCCTTAGGAGTGGAGTGGGGTAGGGAAAACAAAAGGGATGGTGGTGCTGAAGGATGCAGACCTCCAGCCACATCCACCCACCTCTGAGGCGGGCCTGGGCCTCCTGTGACGGCCCCTTTTCTTGGCTTCCCCACATACGTCTTTACCCCTTCATGCTGCCTCCCACACAGAGATGGCTTTCCGCCTTTAAGTTCCTTTCTCCCATCAGTCTAGTTCCCCCAGAAGCCTTCCAGCAACCTATAGTGCTGGGTTCTACCCCATTCCCTCCCCCCTTTCCTTGTGAGCAGTTTCATGTTCTTAGAAAAGGAGCAGCACTGAGAGCCTCTTTCTCTGGTTGTCTGGTCACATTCTGCCACTGTGTGCGCATGACATTTACCACTTACACCTGTGACCTTCTGTAAAAACGAGTATCAGGGCTTTGGCCCCTGAACTGGTAGGGCTTGCTGCATTGTGCACACCTCGCTCTGGCTGTACAGGCGGCTTTGTTGTGCGTGGGTACAGAGACAGGCCCTTCCCAGCCAAAGTTGGTATAAATCAGATTGTTTCAGAGGGAGCCCATGGTTTCAAGAATCCTGGGCAAGTCCTATTGTGATATGAGGATTGCTTTCTAGCTGATAATTTGTGTATTTGAATGGTTTAGTAAAGAGAGGAACATCACCCTTCCCCCCTCAATTCCCGGCCCTCCTCTTCATCTGGGACAGGAGCAAGTGGGTGGAAGCCCTGGCAGCTGTGACAGGACAGCAAGAGGGTGGTGCAGCAGATACCAGGGAGGGTCAGGTGTCCGGGCTTACGGAGTTAGTGTTACCAGTGACATGATGTGTGAGCATATTTTTTCTGTAGGGCAGGAGTAAGCCAAGCAAGTCTGCATCACTCCTAATTATATCTGGTAGGTCATTCAGCTTCTGTAAGTCCTGGAAACTAGTGGAGAATTTTAAGTGCAGTGGTCCCTAGAATATCCTGAAGCTTATGTGGCTTGTCTCTTTGTTTGGCCAAGGAGAGGGCAGATCCGGTGTGTGCAGACCTTTCTCAGGTGGGAGGGTTAATTCATTGTTCATTGTCTGTGCTGTGAGGCCTCCAGTCATTCAGTCAGACTTAACTGGTGCTTCCCCAGTAGGAGGCCAGCTGAGGCCTCTGCCTACCACAGAGCTGCTAGCCCCCAGCAACACTATAAGATGTGTGATCTAAGAGCAGGGAACCTATGCAGCGTAGTAGGTTGTTTAAAGCCACTAACCTGGGACAGTGTTGGTCCAGCCCAGCAAGTCATTTTCATCATTCTGAGCGAACCATTTGGTGATTTGAAAAGGAGTAAACGGTCTTTCATTGGAAGGGTGCAGGCAGAATCCCATACCTCTACCGTCATTCCCAGGTAGTCAGAAAGAATGATGTGTAAAATCTAGAATCCGGAGATGAGGGCTGGATTTTCATATTATATTAAGATGTCTACCTGGCAAGTGAAGTCAGGGTTGAGCCCTGGAAATCCAAAACCTGCACATTTTCTATGCTACAGTTTTCTTCAAGCATGAACATGATGGTTTTTTAAAAAAAATTTTAAACATGTTTATTGATTTTTGCCTTGCCTGGTGTGGCTTAGTGGATTGAGTACCAGCCTGTGAACCCAAGGTTTGGTTACCAGTCAGGGTACATGCCTGGGTTACAGGCCAGGTTCCTGGTTGGGGACTTGTGAGAGGCAACCAATCGATGTTTCTCTCCCTCTCCCCCTCCCCCTAAAAATAAATAAATAAAGTCTTTTTAAAAAAAAAAACCTTGATTAGCGCAGGCTAAAAAGTAGAATTTGTTAGGCAGATAAATGAGATTATGAAGGGACTGCTTATCCAGACAGAAAATAACCACCTACAAGTCTGTCTTTTCAGAAGTACTATTTTCATCAAAGTCATTGAATTTCATACTTTCTTACCTTGTTGCTGAAGGGCCTTTGGCAAAACTGTTAACCTAGTTCAGGTTTGTATGTATACTTGAAAGTTACCCAGAGGTGTCTCCTAAATAGCTTATAATTCTAGCTCACCACTCCTCCAGGGATAAATGGATACCGTCTATTTTGAATAATGAAATCTAAAAAAGACATTAAAAATACCTTATTAAAACAAAGATAATTTGTTGCACCTATCTCTTGCTCCAACAAGCCCAGCTTTGTCTTCGTCCAGCCCCATCTCAGGACCTCAGCCTCCAGTGGAAAGAGGAGCAGGGGGATGAACGGGGGACTAGCTGCCACCCTCAGGGCCCAGCGCCAGTCAGTGAACAAGTTTAGGAACAGAGTGAGGAGCAGAAACTAGGGGCTACAGACTGAGTTCAGCCGTCACCCTGATTTTTCCAGTTCATGGGCTCAGCTTATCCCCATAGTCATGAAAACAATCTGCCTGTGTTTTCATGTGCAGTTTCTTAAATAGCCACAAGGTGAGGATGTAGCTCCGTGAAAGTCTTTCTGCAGGACTTGGTCTCTCATCTCTATCCCTCTACTAGTCGCTTCCCTCTTCTACTTTGTGTACCTCTGTTTTGTAACTTGTTCCCTAATTGGTCCATAAAGAGCTTAGATTCTGGAGTCACACAGTTCTAGATTGGAATCTCTCTGAGCCTTGGTTTCTCCCTCTGTGAAATGAGGATAAGGTCTGTTCCCCATGGGAAACCAGCAGCGTACACCAGAAGTATGAGTGCAGGTACCCTTCCTGGCCGTTTGCGCTCTGTGTGTGTGTGGTGATTCATCACAGTGTTGTGTGTAGTAGCAAAATATTGGAAAGAACCCAAATATCTCCTGGTAAGGGACTGGTAAAATAAATAAGCGCAGTATTACAGTGGAGGGCAGTACTGGGCCGTGATACAGAGAAAGAGGAAGCTCTCTGTGTATTGGTAAGGAACAATCAGGTATTTTGCTTAAAAAGAAAAAGAAGCAACGTTCTGAACAGCATGTTCTATAAAGTTTGCTTTTTTAAAAAAAATCCTTACCTGAGGACACACTTACTGATTTTAGAGAGAGGGGTAGAGAAGGAAGGGGAGAAACATTCATCATTTGCCTCTTGTACATGCCCTAACCGGGGACCGAACCTGCAACCTAGGCACGTGACCTGATCGGGAGTCAAACCTGCGACCTTCCAGTTTGTGGGACAATACTCCAACCAATCCAACCAACTAGGCCACACTGGCCAGGATAGTTTGCTATTTTTATTTTACAAGGCAGAAAGATGAAATAGATTTTTGCGTTTGTCTGCATATGTACCAGGAGATGAGTGACACAGAATTAATGAGGCTGTTTACTTGTTTTTGTGGGAGTATCTAGTAGTAAATATTTTGCTTAGTTTATGTAAAAAAAATAGGCTACTTTTCCTCCCTCTATTAGACTTTGTTCCTGGGAACTTGTTACACTGATTCTGACACACGCACAGCCCCTGTGGTAGCGGTGGCATTAGCTGACACTGTGCCGGGCACTGTCATGATGCCTCACACGCACCAGTTCATTTTAGGGAGCAACAGGTACAAGGGCAGGGGTATATTTGATCTGTAGTACGTTTTATATTTGAGTCCTAAATTGAATTGTCCTAAAAAGTGTGTTTTTCCAATTAGTTTCCGCCACATAAGGTGGTTGTGAGAAGTAAGAGTACATGTAAAGTGTGTGCTCTTCTCCAGGGTGGCCTCTGAATTGGTCTGGAGCCAGCCAGGCAGGGAAGGTTCCTCCTGTATGGGCGGTCTTGGGATGGCTGTCCTCACCCAGTTGTGTTTCCTCATGTGCAAGCTGAGCGGGGTGAGCCCACATCCACAGCCTCCTCCACTTTCTCACTTCTCACTTTCCTGCTTGCCGTGGCTTCACGTACTGGTCTCTGAGGAAACAAGGCTACTTGTGTCCAGGCTTTAGCCTTGAAGTTGGCCAAGTGTACTTCAGGCAGCCAGTGAAATCCTGGGTGCTTGAGGGTCTCTTGCCTCCCAAATCCTCCTGGACTTGTGCTCCCAGGAGCGGCCCTCACCTGCACACTTAGGCCAAGGAGGTCTCCTTCTGTTCTTGAAGCTCTTCACGTGATGGCCCAGTTTTCAGATCTCTCTCCTGAATTGTTCCTCCTTTCTTTTTTTTTTAATATATTTTATTGATTATGCCATTACAGTAGTTCTATTTCTCCCCTTCATTCCCCTCCACCCTGTATACCCCTCTCCACCATTCCCTCCCTTTAGTTTATGACCACGTGTCTCAAGTTCTTAAGATTCTATATTTCCCCGACTATTCTTGTCCTCCCCCCTATTTTCTACCTACCATCCATGCTACTTATTTTCTGTACTTCTCCCCCCTTCTCCTCCTCCCACTCCCCTGTTGCTAACCCTCCATGTGATCTCCATTTCTGTGGTTCTCCTCCTGATCTAGCTGTCCTCTTAGTTTGCTTTTGTTTTAGGTGTGGTTCTTAATAACTGTGAGTTTGCTGTCCTTTCACTGTTCATCTTTTTTATCTTCTTTTTCTTAGATAAGTCCCTTTAACATTTCATATAATAAGGGCTTGGTGATAATGATCTCCTTGAATTTGATCTTACCTGAGAAGCACTTTATCTGTCCTTCCATTCTAAATGAAAGCTTTGCTGGATAGATCAATCTTGGATGTAGGTCTTTGGATTTCATGACTTGGAATACTTCTTTCCAGCCCCTTCTTGCCTGTAAGATGTCTTTTGAGAAATCAGCTGACAGTCTGATGGGAACTCCTTTGTAGGTGACTGTCCCCTTATCTCTTGCTGCTTCTAGGATTCTCTCCTTCATTTTAATTTTGGCTAATGTAATGATGATGTGCCTTGGTGTGTTCCTCCTTGGGTCCAACTTCTTTGGGACCCTCTGAGCTTCCTGGATTTCCTGGAAGTCTATTGCCTTTGCCAGATTGGGGAAGTTCTCCTTTATTATTTGTTCAAATAAGTTTTCCACTGGTGGCTGTTCCTCTTCCCCTTCTGGTACCCCTATAATTCAGATGTTGGAGCATTTAAAGATGTCCTGGAGGTTCCTAAGTCTCTCCTCGTTTTTTTGAATTCTTGCTTCTTGACTCTTTTCTGTTTGGCCATTATTTGCTTTCTTCTGGTCTATTCCATTGATTTGAGTCCCAGTTTCCTTTTCATCACTATTGGTTTCCTGTGCATTTCCATTCATTTCCATTAGTTTAGCCTTCATGTGTTCCTCTAATTTGTGACTAAAATCAACCAGTTCTGTGAGCATCCTGATCACCAGTGTTTTGAGCCGTGCATCTGAAAGTTTGGCTATTTCTTCATCACTTAGATTTATCGGCTCTGGGGCTCTAAGTTGTTCTTGAGCCATGTTTTGATCTGTTCGTGTTTCTTATGTAGGAGGAGTGGAGCCTTAGGTGTTCACCAGGGCAGGGCCACCCAGGTTGCTGGTTTATGGCACCATATGTGGGGGCAGGGTCAGAGAGGGACAATGGCGGTCCCCTCTGCTGCTTCCTGCTGCTGGGGCCTGCGCAGTCCGTCTCACTGCTCTTTCCTTTACCAGTTTACAGTTTATCTGCTTGCGAATGTGTGACTGCGGTCAGCCCTCAGTGGGTCCACCCGCTACTCCACACCTGGGATCCACCCACAGCTGCCTTCGAGCCTGGGTCGTGCACCTGGGTCGGTCCGGTGGGTCTTTCCTGCCTGACCCCGCTCTGCTATTGCCTCTGCCCCTCTTACCGGTTTGGCTGAAGGTTTCGTTGTTGTCAGACTTCCATATAGTTCGATTTTCTGTGGTTTGTCTGTTTTTGTTGCTAAAACTTTGTTGTTTTTAAAGTTGGTTGTGCGAGAAGGCAAAATGTTTCCACCTACGCCTCCATCTTGGCGGAAGTCCCCTGTTCCTTCTTTCTTCCCTGCCCACCGACTGCCCAGTATCTATCTATCTGTCTATCTGTGTGTTTGTCTCCACCCGCTCCCCCCCAACCTGCTCCACAACCTGGAGCATGGCTCCTGTGCTCTGAGAGGGCCTTCTCCGCAGGAGAAGGTGTGGGGAGCACCCCAGGTTCAGGCGAGCCCTGGGCATGCCCTGACTTGCTCTTCAGAGCAGAGTGGTCAGAGCCAGGCCAGAGCCGCCTGCTGACAGGGGCGTTTTGACAACAGAGCCACAGCTGGGCTGGCACAGGCCAGGCCTCTTACCCAGTGGGGCTGGGCTGAAGGGACAGGGACGCAAAGGTGACTTTAGTGAGGACCAGGCCTCGCTAAAGACCTGCACCTTGATTTGGATCTGCACCGACCCTCCTGGGCACTGCTGCTAGGGCTGATACAGGCCACATAAAAGCAGAGGACAAAACACTGTGCTCCCACCTCCCTTTCAGAAGGGCTTGGTGCTGAGGAGAAGCTGGACCTGGACCTGTGTTCTTCCTGAGGAAGTAGCCATCATTTGGTTGTTTCTCTCTGCCCCTCCCCCAGATGTTTTTCTTAATCTTTAAAGAGCAAGGTTGCCTGGACACAGACATTTGCCTAGACATTTTATGTTTTTGTCTCCCTTTCCCACTTTGTAGGCAGCTGAGGACTTCAGGGAACCCTGACCTAGGGACGTGTCAATGGCACTTGGAGAAGAAAGGGCAGAGGTGGAGGCATCCACGGACACCAAGGTCCCGGCTTGTGGGAGGTGGAGCTGCAGGGAACAGGAGGTGGACATCCCTGTGCCTGTGAATGGGGAGCAGCTGCCACGCCTAGAAGCTGAGGGAGAGCCTGCCTCCCCTGTGTGGGGGGCAGAGGGCCTATCTGCCCCCACCTGTTGCCCCTCTGGAGCCTGCCAGTCACAGGCCACCAGTACCAGCAAGGAGCAAGTGGCTAGTGCATCTCAGCGTGCTCTCAGTTGCCTGCATCCTTCTGCCCGTGTGGGCACTGGAGATCTGCATTCTCTGGGAGGTCAGGTAGCTGCTAAGGTAAATGGCACTGCAGGTTTACCTAATGCTATCTTTTGGGAGTGCATTCCTGCATTTTGTGGCTGTCTTAAATGCTTTCCCAGTCCCTGTTCAAGGTGGGGCATTGGGAGAGCCTGGTGTGGTGATTTCTGTTTTACAGGCTTACCTGGAGAATTGGGCCTTGGGGCCAGCGGGGGGCTTTGTCCATAGCATCTCCTTTTCCTTAAGAGACTAATGATCTTCTGAGAACCAGGGATGCTGTGTCCAAGACATGCTGTCCAGAGGGCTAGGCCAGGAGAGTTCTGAAAGGGGGAGCCCTTTCTGTTTCTGACTTGGTGATCTGAAGGCCTGGGGGGGGGGGGTCCTGAGAGGAGACTTGGGGAAGGAGGGCCCAGGGCTGTGGTCTCCTGAGGGCTTTGAAACTGTATCCTCTGGAAACCCAGGAAGCCTGGCGAAGCCTGGAGCCCCTGCAGGGGGCAGCACCTTTGCTGGGCAAGAAGAATTTCTTGGGCAGCCCTGACTACAGTGCAGCATCCCCTAGTGGGAGTCAGGTGTGGGCTTCCTGCCTGGCTCTGACTTCAGGCAACTCACTGAATCTTCTTAGGCCCTCAGTGTAATTGGGAAGGTGACTTGCATGACCGGCCCCTCCCGGCTCTGACATCCTGTTTCTGTTCTGCTTGCCCAGATCTTTCATGGGAATGGCTTTGATCTCTTCAGGGTCATTGTGGCCTTGGCTGCGCCTATGGATCCCCCTCCTTTCGGGAGCCTCTGACTGTGAGGGAAAACAGAAGCTGGGCCCACCTGCCTGGGAGCCAGGGCAGTGGGGGCTCAGGGAACCTGTGAGTCAGAGCTTCAGAGAGGCGAGAAGCAAATAAGCCTACTGGCTTTTTTCATGGTGTGAGCCCAGTGCTTACTGTAACTCCTTTTGTGTCGAGCTCTCCCCCTGTGCCCTTCACACATGAGCTCATTTACTCCTCATCGCCTGAGGGAGCAGTGCTGTTACTGGCCCCATTTTACAGGTGCGGGGAGTGAAATGGGGTAGTAATAGCACCGCTTTCACTGGAAGGTGGCAGTTAGGGGTTGGCACCACGTCTCTGGTGCCAAAGCTCATGGCCTTAAACCACTGTGCCGCTGGCCTCCCTCAAGCAGATTGAAAGTTCAAAGTGAAGAGGCTGAGGTGAATGACTCATTTTACCAGTGTTTAGTTACCACTGGCATGTGAGCTGAGCAAATGGGTATGGGTGTGTCTCCCGTCATGACAGGATGGTTAAGGTTTTGTCTGCACAGGACATGCTTCCAAAAGGTTAGGCAGTGTGTTCAGTCTGAGAGCTCGGAATTCTGCTCACAGGCAGGGTATCTGTGGACAAGGGCCTTTTGAAAGGACTGAGGTGGCATCAGTCTGGGGAAGACAGGTTGCTTCCAGAGCAGGCTCTCCGTGTCAGGACCCCTCCTGAACATCATCTGGGCTCCAAAGAATACTCGGATTGTCATTTAAGAAAGAAACTTAGTTCACTTGTTTATACTTGAGTGCTTTTTCTTCCCTCTTATTGCAGATGGAGGATGCCAGTCTTTCTGCCTCAGGGGAGCTTCCTCAGATTGTAACCATTCCCAAAGCCACGGGTCTTTGCTCAGGACATGATGCAGATACCGAAGACGATCTGTCCCCAGCTGAGGCACCTCCGGTGCTGGACCTCAGCCAACAGACTCCCATCTCAGGTTTCCCTTTCTCCTCAAAGTGGAGGTCCATGGTGAGCCCAGGTGCCGCTGCTCCTCAGTTTTCCAGCTGCAGTGTCTCTGCCTCATCCCCTGGTGGCAGTTTCCAGGGTCGCCAAGAGAAGGCAGAGCCTCAGAGTGGCTCCCTTGCCAAGGTCTCCTCTTCCCTAGAGCTGGTCGGCCCCCAGGCAGTCCCCTCTGTGGTGGGGCCAGGACCTCAGCTCCAGTGGTCTCCACAGCCTGTGTCCTCTGGAGACGATGCTTCTGGGCTGAGTGGGAGGCACTTGTCCTTCCAAGCCGAGTACTGGGCCTGTGTGCTGCCAGATTCCCTGCCCCCTTCCCCTGATCGCCACTCCCCACACTGGAACCCAAATAAAGAGTACGAAGACCTACTGGACTATACTTACCCACTTAGGCCCAGGCCTTGGCTCTCAAAGCATGTTGACAGCCATGTGCTGGTTGATCCTGTCCTGCAAGACTCAGGCGTAGACCTTGATAGCTTTTCTGTCTCCCCTGCAAGCACTCTGAAGTCACCCACTGATGTCTCCCACAGTTGCCCACCAGCGGAGGCCACTGCCCTGCCGTTCTCAGGGTCCCGAGAGCCAAGCCTCAAACGGTGGCACTCTGGAGGACCCCAGGAGCAGGGCAGCATCAGGCTGGCATCTTGTGGCCAGCTTGCGTCTACACCCAGGGCCACAGGCAGTAGGGGCAGTCCTTGGAAGAGTAGAGAGCCAGCCCTGAGGGGTATGAAGAACTGGCGGCCTATGGGCAAGTCCTTCAAGGTGAGCCCTCCCCAGCTGAGGACATGGGACAGAGGGTGGCCCTCATCCAGGCCAGAAAGAGAGAAAGGAGCCAGCCGGGGTATCCAGCACCCTGCCTGTGTGGAGTTGGGATGGAAGCCAGAAGAGGACCTGGAAAGTGATGACGAGTATCTTGCCCTGCCCACTCGGCTGACACAGGTTTCTAGCTTGGTTTCATATCTAGGTTCTATTCCCACTTTGGAGACCCTGCCAGCTGGGGCTGCTGAAGGGCAGAGCTCCCTGGATGTGACAGACAGTGATGGACCTACTTCCTTCCCATCGGACTCCAGCCAAAGCCACCTTCCCTCTGGGACTACCCTCAGAGGGTCTGGGGAGCTTGAGGGGCAGAACTGCTGTTTGCTGCGCTCCTTCATCCATGCAAGGGACTCTGCAGGGGACGGCAGTCTGGTGAGCAGCCAGGCGCTGGAGGTCTCTGGACCTCTGAGAACACACTCCTCCTTGCCAGTTGTTTTGGACCCAGATTCTAAAGGGCAGCCTCCCAGGAGAGGAAGAGAGGCAGGAAAAGACTCACTCATGCAGTGTGTGAAGGTAAACTCAACATTTAAGAGGTTTTGCAGAGAGGGGTCTCATTTCTTCCCCCAGTCCACTAGTATAACAAAATTTAGCAACTTGGAGCTCATTTGTATGTCAGGCACTGGACTACTGTACCTTATCCTATTTAAGCTTCTCAACTCTACTGGATGAGGACTGTTCTCATTTAACAGAGAAAATGGCAGACAAGAGGTTAGGCAACCTGCCCACTTAAAATTAGCAAGGGCTGGAACCTGAGCTCTTAACGACTACCCTGGGCAGCTTCCCAAGGCTCTTGACCTTGAAGATTAAGAGGAACTCTACAGAAGAAAGGTTTGTGTTCAGATGCCTTTAGGAAACACTGAGCTAAACAAGTGCTTTTTTGACTGCATGGCTTCTCAGAGCTTCAATTTTAGTGAAGTGGTGTAGCGGTAGAGGTTTATGGACCACCCAAGAATATCTGGAGATACAATAATAATACTACAGGGAACAGGCTTGTCAGCATCAGGCAGATGTGAATTTGAATCAGGGCACTGCTCTCTGGAATTCAGCTCAGTCTCAGATTTGCTGCTTTGCTAAAATACGGAGATGTGCCACTTCAGGCTGTTGTGTGGATTAAATGACATAATTCACGTTGAGGGCTTCACACAGTCCCTGACACAGGCACGTACATTCAGAAATGTGGCTCATCACGCACACGGAGAGTCCCCAAGGTGAGCATGGGAATACGGCATCTCACCACTGCAGGGCAGCCAGCCACGTGGCCTTGTATGGGCCCATGAGCTGATGCCACAGGCAGTTCCTAGCACTCCAGGAGGGCTTTAACCTGCCGGTGTCCCGGGGATGGTTTTATTTGTACTGTGAAGCTAGTAGGACACATGTTAGCATGTACTCTCCTTTGTGATAAAAGATTGAGAGACGGTGAAGGAAAGTGTTTGGCTCGCAGCTCCCCTCCGGGAGTCTAGGGGCCCTGCTCCCTGAGCAGTGGGGAAGCAGAAGGTGGACGCACAGCTTTGAGTCAGTTGTCAGCTGGTTGTACATTCTAGTTAGTCTTGACCAGTCATTTATTTTATGTCCATGTTTTTCCCCCAGTCTGATAGTAAGCAGTGGTGCTGACCCAAGAACTGTTCCCTGGGGCTGAGCTGTTCCCCATGCAGAGCCGGCCTTTCTCACACTGTCATTTTTGGTGTCATTTAGCTGAAGGGAGACAGAACCACAGTGGGGCTGTTGCTATTGCCCTGGCAGAGGTCTGGAATCACAGGGTGGGGACAGGCAGGGGAGGAGAAAGGAGACTAAAGCCTCAAGTGAAGGAATGCCCTGCTTAAGTGCACAATCTATCTCGGAATCCCCTGGATATTTTTAGTCTTTTGAAAATGTAAACAGCATGTGTCTTTTACTTGTCCACACAGACCTTTTGCTGTCAGCTAGAAGAGCTGATCCACTGGCTGTATAATGTCGCAGATGTTACTGACCACTTGACTCCACCCAAGTCCAGTCTTACAGGTCTCAAGTCATCTCTGCAGCTTTACCGGGTAATGTGTGGTCCTTTCTTTTAGCTGTTCACTCACAAGAGGAATGAATGGCTACATTACTAGATTACAAGGTAATCAAGTAATTTAGCTCAAATAACTGGTGCTCAACACATTGTGGCTCAGTTGACTATGTTACCTAAAATCTAGTCATAGGTTCTTTTCACATTCTTAATGCTGAAAAACATAAATGTATCAGTTATTTCACAAGCCAAATAGAGTTTGGAGAAAACACATTGATTATGTTTATCCTGAATCAAAAATACGGGTGATTTCCAGTGTAATTTTCCGTGTCTTAGGGATTGACTAAACTTAGATCTGCACTAATATGGGGTAGCTAGGCACATGTGGCTATTTCAGTACAATTGAAGATTCGGATTTCACAGTTGCACAAGTCACGTTCCAAGTGCTCGGTCATCACATTCTTCTAGTGGCTGCCACGTTGAACAGTGCAGATAGGAAGAACATTTCCATCATCGCCAAGTTCTGTTCGACAGCACTGACTGGTATTTAAGTGTCTGGACTGAAACTGTACTGATTCCAGAATACACACAGGGTGTTTTGATGGTATTTAAACAAAGTATGAATCAATTTGCTTCTCATGTGTTTGGTTTTGGAGGGGCATGCTTTTTTTAAGAAATGAGGGTTTTCTCTAAAATCTCTTAAATTGTGGTGACTACAACTTTAGATCAAGTATATTTAGGGTGACAGTTTGTGCCTGCTGTTCTGGCATAATTATCAGTAGGTCCCCCTTCATTTCCAAGAGTGTTCTGAATTGGATGATAAATTATTCAGTTACCCTAAAACATAACATTAACCTTGACTGAACTACCCATGGCTTCTAGCATGTCTGGTTGGCCAAACCTTTATAATCTCTGATGAAGGAGCTGGGGTATTTGTGGTCTGAGCCTGATATTGCTAGTCTAGAAAGGGTTCTCTGGGACAGTTCCGTGAATTGCCCCCACATTACAACCTAACCCTCACCTTTAACAGAAGAGGGTGTGATTTACAAGTGACTGAGCCAGGGGCCACACTAGGATGGGCTGAGCCTGGAGCTCCCACCACACCCAGGCAGGATGGAGGACTTTTGTTTTCCAGCTGTAAGCCAAGTAAAATTGAAAGGACCAGGCTCGCCTGGGTGGGCCAGCTGCCCTACATCAGTGAGATTGCTGTTTCCTCCTGTGTGGAGAGTTCCTTGCCCAGATTACACTGAGAAAGGCTGACTACTATGAGGGTCCTCTGTGTGCAGGGTCCACCCCCAGGAGGCCCAGGGGCAGCACCATTATTGAGAGGAAATTGCCCTTGTAAGATTTACCTGGGTGGCCCTTCCTGAGTGCCTCAGCCCTGCCCCCATCAGCAGGCCGAGTAAAACAACTCTATTTCCTCCGCTGTGTACCGCATTCCATCCAGTGCCTCAACTTTCAGACTAACCACAAGCAACTCTCTTGCTTTGTGTGAAGAGCTGAGATCTGAGCTATGGTTGGTTACTCCTGCAGGTCAGTGAAGCCTAACCCTCTCGTGTTACCCATAAAATGATGGAACCACACTGTGAGCCCCTTACTCACACAGAATGGTACATGGCTCATGCATATGTATGAGCTACCTTGACCCATGCTGAGATACTTAATATAAGCCCGAGTGTGGGTATGTACCCATATATTTCAACTGTGACTCTGCCTCATGTGTTTTGTGTTATCACAGTCCATTTGTGGCAGCATATAAACACAGGTATTAAGGCTGAACACAGGAATATAAACCCAAGAGTAAAATTATAACCTCAGAATGTGAACTAAGTTCTGTACCCTGTACTAAAAGCAATCATGAATTTGACTTTATACTTCTTAACTAAAGGGACATCAAAGATAGTCAGCCACAAGGCTTGGAACCTGTGAGAGAAGAAGAGATGGGCTGCTTAGGAGGAGGGCAGCTTCCCTGATCAGGAGGCAGCAGTCCTTGTGGTCAAGTTAACAGCATGTCTTGTGGCTTTTTCTTGCTAGTTCCACTACAACAGGAAACTGTTTTAAGAATCCCATTGCCCTGTAACTTTAAAGAGAACCCACCCTGTGAGGTGTGAGACAGGAAGGAAGCCCTGGATCCAGCTGTTGCTAGGGCAGGATCCACCAAGACAAAGAATACTCTTTTTTTGATCAAACTGTAAACAGGAAGGGGGAAAAAAAAAAAGGATCCATCCTATTTACCTTGGGCTCAGAAGAGATGAACTTAAACTTTTACACTGTTTACTTGGAGAAGCCTGAAAACCTGTGGGTTCACCTTCCAGGTTAGGGGGGGAATCAAGCAAGGTATCATTTTGAATAATTTATAAAACAATAACAAAGCTTTTTTCTTTTTCTGATATGCTTTAAGCAATTTAAGAGAGATATAGATGAACACCAGTCCCTGACGGAGAATGTCTTAAAGAAAGGGGAGATTCTTCTAAAGTGCCTGTTGGATAACACCCCAGGTAAGATGTGTGAGGCTTTGAATGCAGCCAGCCTGTCTGCAGCAGGCCCAGGGACCCACACACACTGGTAAGGAGCCGTTAGTGCCAGAGCCCCTCCCACCATCACTGCCCCCAGACCACACCATGAGGCGGTTACATTCATAAAGGTGAACCGTGAAGAAGTTAGGTGTCAAGCTTGTAAGAACGACACTCTTCTGTTCTCGTCTTTTCTTGGGGGCGTGCTAGGTGGGAATGCTGGTTTTAATCCAGCTCTGCTTGGTTTTCAGCTAGGGGTTCACGGTGGGGAGCCCTCAGGGCCTCCCCTCTCCTAGCACAGGCGGAGCCCCTCTGGTCATCTGCTCTGGGGAAGAAGTGTCACAGTTTAAGAGTGGTCAGTCTGTGCTGAGGGAATAGACTGAAGGAAGAAGTGAACTGACAGGAGGGGACGGGACGGTCAGTGGTGCACAGAGTTCAAGCCTGTTTTGTAAGGTGGGTTTCCACTGTAGGAAAAGGGAAACCACAAGCCTTTAAGAATCCATTAAAGCATGAAAGGTGTGAGGGTTTATGGCCATGCTGCCCTTGCTGGGGGGGGACAGGATACGGATGAGCAGCTGTGAGAGTGCCAGGTTAAAGTAATGGACCCCTGAAAGCAGCCCCATTTCCTCCAAGGTTGAATATAAGAGTGCTCAAAAAGCCTATCTATATTGTGCCTCAAATTTGGAGTGAGATGGGGTTTATGCTAGAAACAAATAGCATAAGCAAAACTGGGTGGGACCTGCAAGCTTAAGGGGCAGTGAGGCTGCACTTTCCCGACCAGAAGTAGTGGACAGGTGCACACTAGGGAGGTGTGTGGAACAGTCCCAACCTCAGCACTGTGACATCGTGGACCACACAGTTTTTGCTGCGAGGGCAGTTGTCTTGTGCATGGTAGGATGTTTAAATAGCATCCCTGGCCTCCACCCATTAGATGCCAGTAGCACCCCCTACCCAGTGATGACAACCTAAAATACCCCCCACATTGCCAAATGTCCCCTGGGAAGAAAAATCTGGGTTGGGGCCTGAATGAGCCATGGAGCCACCGCAGGGATTTCCAAGGGGCAGCACTTACCCAGGGCTCATGAGTCTTACGCAACCTCTGCCCTTGGGAGGCCTTTGATTGGACTCGTCTCCTGTTCTCTTGCACTAGTGTTTTTGGTTTTGATTAGGGCAGAAATTCAGTATGCCAAGCTCCTTGCTGCCTGTAATTACACCAGTATTTTACTGAACACTGTGTGCCAGACACTGCCGAAGCAGTTGACATCAGACTTTCATTTCATCACAGCCCTGTGAGAGAGATACTATTGTTACTCTCACCTCAGCAGAGTGGTGAGTTTGCCTTGGGTCACATAAGGTGGGGCAGCCTGGCTCCGGCCCCATATGCTGGCTCCCCTGCTGTTGTCAGTGTTTGGAGGTGCAGGGGCCTGGGCAGGAAGGAAAGGAGCTCAATACCAGGAAACGCTTCCCAGAGGCCCCAAGTAACAATGAGCCTCTTAAAAGCTATGGGTTCTTTGACCTGCATTTAAAAATCAGTTCCGTGAACTTCAATGCTTAATATGTATGTATATGTTTATGAATGAGAGGGGAAGGGAAGGAAACTTCAACTTGGGAGAGAAATACTGATCAGTTGTCTCTCGCACACACCCCAACTGGGGTCCAAACCCTCAACCCAGGTGTGTGCCCTGATCAGGAATTGAACTGGCGACCTTTCACTTTGCTGGGCGACACCCAACCAAGTGAGCCACACCAGTCAGGGCAGCACTTAATTCATAATAAAGGCATCTCACTTTGCCTTTCTCTCTCAAAGGAGTCAAGAGGTATTTTACTGACAAAATAAGAGGCTTTTGGGGTTTCTGTGGTTTTCAGACATGTATCCAGGCTCTTTCAAGTTGACACACTGCCACTCCACACCCTCAGTTTGGCATAATCAGGAACTCTACTGTTTGGTGAAAACCACAAGATCCCCTTGATACTCTTCGGGTCTTTGTGACTGGGTGTGCGTGCCTCTTCTCCCCAGGGCACGCCATCATAGTCTAGAGCCCTAGCATAGACGCTTCTCCCTGAGCCTGCTTCCTTCCTCTGCCACAGTATAACCTCAGGGCCGGAAGCTAAATTAATTCCCCCTCAAAACACGCCGATCTCAGACTGCTGCCAAAGGCCTCCTTATGGAAATCTGGCAGGTTTTCACTGCATTTTAGTGTGTGAGTTGACAACCCTGTCTCAGGCCCAAACTCATTTATCAAATGGCTGGCATCTTTGTGCATCCAGCTGAACAAGGCCCCTGTAAAATTAAAACAAAAATATCACAGGGAAAAATTATTTCATTTGCACTCCCAGCTTTCCTTTTACTTACTTTCAACCAAACATCTAACACTCTAAAATAAAAGTTCAAAAATAAAGATCCCCTGAATTCCACTGACAGCAGACAGGACGGATGAAGGTCAGGTGAACACGAAGGAGAGCCCATCCCAGGTGCCCTTACAGGCTCTCTAGACAGTGCACCTCGGCCTTGCCCTTACAACTCTGGTGAGTTGTCAGGACAGCACTTTGCCCCTGTGACTGATGCAGCTCTCAGGGCTGATCTCAGTACAGCCAGCCAGTGGGTGCTTCGACCACCCACCCACCCCTCAGCATCCTCTGCAGATAAATAGCTTCCGCTTTCCCTCCGCTGCTGGCAGATGTTGCTACTGTGGCAGGAAACTAGGGAGAGTGTTAACACAGCTGATAAAGGCACAGGAAGCCAAAGCAGTCTTTGTGTTTAACAAAGGACATAGTTTTTGAGAGAAAAAAAAACAGGCCTGCTGTGTGGGATGCACTGTGAACCTAGCCTGTCCTGTAGGAGGGAATCTTGGCTTTACTAACCACCTTGTGTTTGCCAGCTTTTAGGTAATTTTCTTTTGAAGTCTGTTCATTTAGGACACCTAAAAAAGGGTTCACAAGCATGGTACCCAACTACCTGTACACATGCTGAACGACAGCCCCCAGCTGATAGGACCTGGTAGCAGGACCCTGGTCTGGGTGTGTTACTTCCTTTGAGCCTTCTGCCCCACAAGATCTGGGTGTGTCCTGAATCTTCTCTCTAAAAGTCAGACCAGTCTGCCTTTCTGTGAATTACGTACTTCCAAAGTGGAGCCAGTGAAATTCTCTCAGCTTCAATCAGAGGTTATCATGTATCTACCAGTGCAATAGCATTTCCTGGGGAGTCACTGTTAAGAGTAGACATTATGAAGCTGTTGCTGTGTTCCCTCCCTATTTTGTGTGAAATGCTACACCCTTGTATTTTCTTTTGAAAATAACTTGCATGATTTTTTTTTTTTTTTTTTGCCTAATTGCTTTAAACCTTGTTTGTTAGTGTTACAGGATGTTCTCGGGAGGATTGCAAAGCAGCCCAGCCAGCTGGAGAGCCACGCAGATCACTTGTATGACACTATATTGGCCTCTGTGGACATGCTGGCTGGCTGTGCCCTCATCTCGGACAACACACCGATGGCACACAGGAGTGCTGATGTGACTGGGATTAGCCTGGTAAGTAGAATAACCCAAGAGAACATCTGCCCTCAGACCCCAGTGCTGGATTAGAGGTCAGAGCTCTTGCTCTAACATTTGGCTGTTTCTTAGAGGCTGGAGCCAAGAGCTACTAAATAACATGCTAGGAGAAAACCGATACTGAACAAGGGAGATGCTGCCATTGCCAGGCAGAAGCTTGGGGGTCTTCCTGTGGTGATCAGGGCTCACTGTGGTGTGTTCTGTTTTGCCTGCTGAGGACCAGGATGCCCCATGTCCCCAGTAAAACTTAACCTAAACCTCCTTTTTTGTGTGTGCACATCTGTCAACCCAGCTCATTTGGTACTCCATCTCCAAGCAACTATTAATAGCACCCAGTGCTTAGAGACAGAATTACTGATAATTCCCACTGCTGGGGGTGACACACCTGGAGACCTAAGAGTACAGCTTTCTTCTGATCTGTGGAAAAGTTGTATAGGACACGAGAGGAAAGAAGAAATATAGGGGAGAGCATAGGGGATTGGTACCCACTTTAAGGGATAACTGGACCACGCTATTTCTGAAATTGCCTCTCCAACCAAAATGTATAACCCAGATCTTCCAGGTTAGAATTCACTATAGACAACAGGAAGAGGCTAAAACCTCAGGTATGTCAAGAGCAGGGAGTCCATGTATTTCTTATTAAAAAAAATTTGAGCGCGTCATTTTAATTCTGAAGTGAATGCAGGTTGATGTTTGTTGTCATGTCTTCCTCTGCAGCATTCTGCCTGTAACAAATGCTTCTCTTTTCTTTCAGGCATCTTCTCAGGCAGAGATGTAATCTGCCTCCCAAAACCTGGCTGGTCGGAAACTTTCAGGAAGTTCTAGTAAGAGCATTTAACGTTGATATTAAGGAGGAAACTTAACTCTAATGTACTAGCTTATATAAAATGCCTTTCTCTTCCCTGAAGTAAGGGGCTACCAAGTTACCGTTTTTATTTAAAATGAATCCTTCCAAACTAAGGTATTCCTTTGGTGCTGCTTCTCTACAAAGAGCATGTGGCTTTGCCAGTTTGGATAAAATAATGCTCATAGGCTTATTCAGCTTTCCTCCCTTCTCTATCCAGTTAAAAAGAGCAGACAGAGCTCTTAAACTAGTCCATGTGCTGAGAGCATTTAAGGGTACCAAATGCTCAGTACTCTCAGGTATACAAGAGGATCCAAGAGACTGAAAAAAAGTGAGTGGTTGGCCAGGAACTTGGTTCCTTCAGTAAAACTGAAGCTTACCGTTTATAAATCTCTCTTTGACGCTTTTTAGAAGATACTACTAACTCACCAAATTCTTAGAAAAAAAACAGGCTCATTCTTCTATAAATCAGTCTGGGCTGTCAGTATCTTCTGTCATATTCAGGGCTCAGGGGGTTCATCCCCCACCCTGACTGTCTTAAAGGAAAATGAGCAGGGACTTTGGGAGCTGCTGTTGAGCTTCAGCTAGGCTGTGGACTAATGACCCACTGTAAGGGGTACCTTTAGGAGGATGCACCCCTTCATTCCTACTCTGGTGTGGAAGAGTAAGTCCAAGGTCAGGGAAGGGAAGGGCATGGACTCTCCAAGGCTGTCAGTAATGAAAGAAAACAAGGAAATTTTTTGTTGCTTGGGAGTTGATGGAAATAAATCTACAGATCAGCCATTGAAAGCATCAATTCTATGGCTTTTTAAAGCAAAATGATCACCTATTGCTGGTGTAACCAGACTCTGCAAAAACAAAAATCACTTAGTAGTATTGAGCCATGAATGAAAATGGAAGGAGGAAAGTGTATTTCACCCTATACACTTTTAGAATGATAGTAAGTTAATAAGACTTACAGGTTCTTCATACTTAAATATATATTTAAAGGCCTTTTTTCAAACTCCAGATGAGCACGTCATCTTGAACCAAAAGAAGGTGATGTTGAAAAAGTCTGCTTCAGACTTCTAATTTCCCTAAAATTACTTCCTTTAAAATAATTCTTAAGACTTTAGTTTTCCAGGCTGAGCCACAACTATTTTGTTTTTAATCCTCACCGGGCTATTTTTTCCCCCCACTGCTTTGAGAGAGGGGGGAAATACCATTAATGTGAAAGAGAAACATCATTTGGTTGCTTTTTGGTACCTGCCCCAACCACTGTTCAGTCTCGGAAACAGCTCCAACCAAGCCACATGGGCCAGGGCTGAGCCACATAATCTTACCATCTCGTTCACTTCCATGTGAACTGAAGTCCTATTAAATGTTTCTGCTTCAGAATTCCTTAGACTTCATAGTCAATGGAGAATTATATAAATAAAATTCAGTATTTCAAGTGCTTGCTGCTGCTATGGTATCATTTACCATAATGCTTAAGGGTATAATCAGAGTTAAACTGTATATTCAGATTTTGCCCATATTATGATTCTCCATCTTAAAACTTGGTTCCATACATGAACTTTAATAGACAAAACACCTCCTTGACAAATGGTTACAAATGTAAAATACTCTTGACAGCCTAGAATTGGTTAAAAAGGCAGTTATATCTAACTGCCTTTCACTTTCTCTTTGTGGCTATAAAGTGGCACATGCCTTTCCACTGAGTATGTTACAGGATAGCAGTTAGGAGTTAAACTCAGTTATTTACTAGTATCTGATAAGCATGAAAATAAGTAAATGTAGGCATGAAAATAAGTGTCTATCCATTAGCAAAGAAAAACTGAAGATGACAACTCTATGTAAACAAACTGGCCAATGATATAGTAATTGAATGCTACATATGCCGTTGTATTCTCATTCAACCTAGTAACTGTAATGATGGGAATTTTCAGAGTGTTTTATTTCAAAGTACCCCATTTCCCAAGGAAGTACTACTTTCACAAAGAGATGAACTCAAGGTTTTTGTTCATCTCCTCTGAAATAAGGTGTGACTGAAGGGTGCTTATTCTGGACTTAGCTGTGAATGCCACAAAAAAGTATCAACACAGCTGATGATAATTTCCTCTTCAGCAGTGCTACATATAAAAAGTCGAAGACCTCCCTTAAAACTGAAGCTGAAACCGTTTCAGCCTAGTAAGATGCCAGCAGCATTTCTACGAGCAAACATGGCCACACGGATTCAAATAGTTCGGCTGGCCAGTAACAGTGGTACACACTAGTCTTGGACACTAGTGGTCTACAGTGACATAAGTGTGGTAATGAAATTCCAACTTTACCTGCAGTAAAATTTCCTAGTAGTCCCTTTAAAGAAGGAGAATTTTAAAATTGTCCACGGGGAAGTTGCAGCACTAAGAGCCGAAACGGCAGTTTCAAGATCTGGGTTCTTGTTGCAGCTTCATGGCTAAAGTACAAATTGGAGACATTGTCAACATGGATGTTTTTGAGGCTGAGAAGGGTTCATATGAAATGTTCTGCAGTGGCAACATGTATGTATGCTGAAGGAAAATTCAGTCAAAGGTCAAAGAATAGAAAGTCACTGCTCAGACCAGAATGGCCATCATTCTGTAAGGATTTCCCAGAGACTAAACTGCTTAGGCTTAACTTATTGTTACGTGAGCTAATTTATGGCACTTACATTTACAATATGACAAGTGATAGGTTCCCCTTTATTAAGTGAACATATTGTTAAACTGTTAAAGCCCATAGTAGCTTGAAATGGGGATAGGAATATATATTTTTCAAGACTGCATTTATGGCATATTCATAAAAGCGAGGCAATGCAGCGAGTCCCAGTCTTGACTGTCATGGGGGAAAGATGCTAGAATTTTCAAAACTAAGTATGTAAATACGCTTACATCTTTCAATAAAGCCATGTAATGTTTTCTTGCTAACTCACCAGGAAAAGAAAGCTGACGGTTTGAACAACTTGCTGTTTGAAGTGCGTGCCATCACATTAACATTTGTATCATTTCTCTACTTTAGAATATAGTTTCTGTATTCTTTCCCCATTTATATTGTATTGTAAAGCAAAAAAACCCTTTTTTTTTTTTTTGAAGCATTTAAAAAAATCTTCACACAGATAATTACTATTTGGTAACTTGAGTTCAGTTGCCTTATTTGAGGATGAATAGATCCAACAAGCACAGCTATAATACAAAGTAAACTATGATTTTTATTGTGAAATTCTCATAGATGGAAAATTAAATTGAATATTTATTCTGTCAATTTCATTTTACAATAATCTTATCACTTATTTTTGTACCATGTATTTTCAATTGCCTGTTTAGTGAAAATTAAAAAAACCTTTAAATTTTTGGCTTGTTTTTAATTTAAATTTTATCATTGAATTTCAAGACCCCACCATAAAATATGTTGCCAACAACCACATCCCAAGCCCCTAAGTAAGTATTTTGGCGGCTGCTGCAACCACAAGGAAACAGTTTTTGATTTCCATCACCTTAAAATGCCAGTGTTAGCAAAACACTTGTTTCCACACAATAAAAACAAACTCTAGAATCTTTAAGGTCCTATTTAACAAAATTTTCATATGTGCAAAATTCCACGGAAATAAATACATTTTTCTCATTTATTATTTCCATCCAGCATTTGTGTTTTCGATTAATTTATAGGGATGTAATTTCTAAAATTAGGGTAATCGAACAGTAAATTTTTCCTGCTTTCAATTTTAATGCTTTAATTCTCCTCCAGCCTAAGTTATACAATTGTGGAGGATAAAATAGTCAACATCTGACTCAAAGCATGAAGAAATATTAGCACATGCGTTAGTCTGATCACTTGCCAATTAGGAAAGGTGTGATGCTTTCTACCATTACCACAGGAAAGAATTAACAAAAGTATTAATTTATTAGGCCATTTCAGATGGTTTCAGAGAAGGAACAGAGACAACAGGCTAGATAGCATACATCCTAAACTTGTTTTCCAAAGAGTTTAATCTTCCTGAACCAAGCTTGGTTCAATGCCTGCCCAACACAGAAGCCTCCCTAGGTCATTCATCGGATACACCGCCTGGAGAGCACAGTGACTGCTGCTCTAAGGTAGGTCTACAACGCCCTGGTTGCACACACAAATGGATGTTTTAAGAATGCAAGGTTCTATTTCCCTTTAACCGTAAGAATTAAAACAATACTTATCACCATACGGTTGGATATTACTTCCAATAAGTACAATATTTATTAAACATATCTTCAGTTGTTCTGTTACATAGTGTGCAACAAATTACAATATTCTGCAGCCACAAATTATATGCAGAGTATGAAGAAACTATTAATCAGATAGTGTAATCTTTCTGTTTATAACTCTACAAGGAAGAACTAGCAAATCAGATCTTACATATAACATCTCACTAAACTTTATGCATGGAAAGTGACAGACACTGGTTGTGCTGTTTGATACAAAATGGCTGAACTTCATCTTCAGAAGACTAAACCTGACATCTAAACATGCCAATATAAACATCAAAACAAAATATATTCTAACCAACCACGGGAAACAGTCTGATATCAGGAAAGCAACGAGGATTACACACATTATTTTATAAACCAGCACACAAAGGTTTAAAACAGTTCTGAAAATGAAGTTAGCTGTCTTGAGTCAAGGGAATAAAAAAAAAGTCAGTATTGACCATTTACAATCTCTGACCTTTGTGGAGACGGTAAGAATCTGTTGTAGTGCAGCTACATACAGTACAATTCAGGCAATTTTGTTTTTTCACTTGGGTTCAGATTGCAAATTCATTGCTGTGAGAAAAGGACGGAGGCAAATTTTAGCAGCAACCTCCACCTGACTGCTTGACCGGAGTGCTTTGAATTTTAACATTGGACTTCTCTGCACCACCAGCTGTTGCTCCAGGACCCATTCGCTTTTTAATCTCAGCTGCCATTGTCATGAAAGACTGTTCTACATTTGTTGCATTCTTAGCACTGGTTTCCAAAAACGGAATTCCAAGGGAATCAGCAAATTCCTAAGAGAATAATAAGGCACAATTAACACCGAAAAATATTTTTCACTTAGTGCATTTCTATCTAAAGTGGGCGGTAAGGCTAAGTTGACTGAATCCAAACAGGTACCGTAAAAAAAACTCATTCTAGTACACATTTTAAAAGCCAAGGTGGTGGTTCACATCGCATTCAGTTTGAAAATCAAAACTTTAAACATACCTTTGCTGTTGTGTAGTCTACTACTTTCTTTGTGGTCAGATCACATTTGTTCCCTACCAACAACTTGTTGACGTTTTCACTGGCATAACGATCTATTTCCTGCAGCCACTGTTTAACATTATTGAAGGACTCCTAAGAAGACAGACATTTTTAAGAATGATTAATATAGTTTTCTGTAACCTAACAACTGTTCTAAGGAAGCAAATGATAAGCAAAAGTGTCTCTCTTGACCTAAGGAAGAAATAGTGAAACAACTCTAGCTACAAAATGACTATAGTGCTGGCTAAGAAGTGAACTGGTAACATTAAAATGACTATCCATACCTAAATAAGAAACTGGAATTTGAAGGCTTGAGGATAAAAATACCTTATTTGAAAGAGAAATACAGCTCAGCATCAAGCTGTAGCTTAAGCAAATTTGATAAATTTGAATTTAAATCTGATTATTTTGGTGTATGGATAGCTTAAGTGTTACTATTAGAAACTCAAGAAATATTACTAAATAAATGGGTCCCAAATAAAGATGCTTGTTTCCCAGTCATATTAAGGAAAAGAAATTTTTCATTTTTAAATAGTTCATGGTAATGATATGAGAGTTGAAATTAGCAACAACTTTTCCTCCTGTTGTATCATTCACCTAATATCATTCAATTCTATTTCTCATAGAATTGAATCTAAAGTCTTATGATTCTAGGTTATCTCCTAATTAGCTAAGATATAGTTGTGACAATGAACATTTGCTACAAGAAAAAAGTTCTGAAAGTTTGTTTTATTCTTTGATAGCAAAAAAAAAGGGGGGGGGGCCTGAAATTTTCTGATTAAAAAAATAGTTACGGTCCTTAAATCACATTCTTCCTGCTATACCTGCAACCCTCACCTTCTCTCAAAAGCAATCTTTAGTTTCTCTTTATCCTAAAATCATCCTCTATCTCATCCTATTTCTGAACCACGTGCTCAAGGAAGAGGCCTTGCTTTTGGCTATTCTAACAAGTCTAAATACCAGGCAAATTCCTGTTAACACCAAGAACATGGTATAAACCAAACAATCCAACACTCCCAAATAAAATCTTGGCAAAATGATAATTTATTTAATTGATAATAAATATAACTGGAGTCCCTTAAAAGCAAGTGTAAAAACCAATTACTAAATTTTCTATTTATTTGAGGAAAACAGGAAATTTTGGTTGAAAATTCACTACCGAAAATAATGTTGATGTGATTAACTTATTTGGAGGTAGACAACATTTTTGGCCACATAAATAATATGGATGGCTATCAAATAGTAACTTCCTACTTTGTCACTGTAACACAATTTCCTCTTGGAACTTACCTGATCTGTCACATCATACACAACTATGATGCCATGGGCTCCTCTGTAATAACTGGAGGTGATTGTTCGAAATCTTTCTTGGCCTGCTGTGTCCCACTATTGTAAAACAATCAAGAGATCCAAACAGTTCCATTAAGATAGAGTTGGGGAACAGGGCAGGAGGAGGGAGAACAGTTCATTTACACAGTTATGGAAATGTCCAGGATTTGACATTAGCCCTCAGTGTTCACACTAATAACCTGCATGGTAACAACCAAATACCTGAAGGTCCAGAAGAGAAGGTAGTGCCTCTAGTTTAGCTTGCAGTAATGCTATCAGTATCACAAGGTCTCTGAGATCAGGAACTATGTCAAACTCTTCATATTCCCTACTGGCCTGACAGCCCTCAACAGTACATTCAGATGACTGCCAGTCAAGAAAACACTTGAACCATCTCTGGAAAGTATTATCTTAATCCTAGAGTCAGTGTAAGGAAGATGATTCAAAATACTTTGATAAAATTCATTTTAAAAGTTGCCACACTTGAACCATTTAGGCTTAAACACCAAAAACATGAATTACTACAGTTCTGGGTTTAAAAAAAGTGAGGGGAAAACTCAACTGTTAGGTTTTAAAGTCTTGGTTTTAATTAACAAGGACAATGAGAATTTTGTTTAAGTACTTCTTAGACGATGGCCTCTTTACAAAAAATGTATACTGAGAATAGCTACCACTTTAATGGTGAAAGGTAACATCCTGATTGATAGTGGAGATTAAGATGCAATACCCTTTAAGGGTAAGAAATTATAGTTTGGAAGTATATGTGAACTTGACATTATTCCCTTCTAATGTTTTAAATGGCAAAAAAACACCCAGTTCAGGAGCACTCAGCAAAATACTTCCTTTTCTAGAACCCAGCTGACATAGACTTGTGAAAAACAAGTACAATTTTGGGGAAATATGAATACAGACTGGTATTAGATAATATCAAGGCACTAGTGTCAATTTAGTTAAATGTGATTAATGGTTACATAGTAAAATACAGGTGCTTACCAACCTATGTTTGGAGTAAATATAATTTCTGTAATTTAACATACTCCAAGGGGAAAAAAATGAAGCAAAGTTAACATCATTAATCTAAAATAAACAAAAGCAAGTCAGAACAGCTTCATTACCTTTTTTGTTAAAAGTACTAGCCTGAGAGCCAGAAGATTTTAGATCTATTATCAGTCAAGAGCATCAAAGTCTTTCAGGATATCCTTGGAGAAGCATGAGCTTTGAAATTAAGCCAACCTGACTTGGAAACATCATATCTAGGTTCCTGGTTATTTAATGGTAGGAATAGTTTCCTCATCTAATCCTAGGTGTCACTCACCTTACAGAATTGCTAAATGGGTTTAAATGAACTAATGTTTGTAAAATGCCTAGCAGAGTGCTTGACTGTAAAAGCTGTTCGATAGAATGTTACAGAAATGCTTATGCTACACCAGGCACTCAGAATCAGGATTACAGAGATGAATGAAACATAGCCCTCATAGGAGATGTCATTAAGGTGTGGGAAACAAACATGGGAAAATCACACCTTGATTGGGGGGGGGGGGTAAATGAGGATTACATACAGAAAAAAGTCCTCCCTTCTCCACCTACCAACCCCTTGCACAAAGATAGCACAAGGAAGAAGTAGTTTATGAGTTAATGTTAACAAAGAATTGTAGCTGACTGAGCAATGGCATCTAAAAAGTAAAATTTCTGATGTCTCTTCACCACTCTGAAAACTCTCCTGAGTCCACCCATATCCTAACAGTACCTTCCTCTGTAATTGATCACCCTATGTCACAGGGTAACTGATTTTCCCATGTTTGTGTCTCCAGCTGAAATGGGATCTCCTCCTATGAGGCTATGTTAATCCTTTATCTCTGTAACCTTGAATCTGAGTGCTTGGCATAATGTAAGCATTTCCATAAATGCTTCACCAATGAACAATCACACAAGTATGCCTTCTTGCTGTGGGTCTGGACTCCATGCCTGCCCTGCCCTGCTGAATGTTTTGTAATCACTAACTCTGATACCACCAAGTCCCAGATGGCACACTTGAAAAGCTGAAAGGATATTTAAAATACAGATCAACAATAATTCTGAAAGACCTAGAAAACTTGGAAAGATAACTGAAGCCAAGCAATCTGAAGTGTAATGGGGTTAAAAGTAAAATGCAGCATTCAGATTTAAAAACAGCAGTCACAAAGTATGTCTTAAAAAAATTACAAACTCAAAGCCCTAAGATCCAAAGTGAGGAGCTTTTTAAGTCCTTGAATGGATTAACAAGAAAAGGCTATGAGTCCCTGAAGTCCAAGGGGGGGGAGGGGGGATAAATTCAGAGTCCAAATAAAGAGGATTTTCCTCACATAGTCCACATCTTCTGGGCTATATCTCCTATTTAATTTCAGGAATCACATTTTAATAAGAGGTATGTATAAAATACAAGAGTAACTCAAACTGTAAAAGGTTCAGAAAACATACTTCCAGAAAGAAGTAACTAACTCCAGAAGTAGCGGTTGCGGTAAGATGTAAAGCACAGGCTGGGCGGTATTCACATCCTCCCACAACATCAAAACTACAACTAAGCTACAGAACAACCATCATTCAGAACTGCTGAACCAAGTCCTACAACAGAGGATATAAAGAAGAAGCCACAAAGACCACTAGGAAGGGCAGAAGCGCAGCTATTCCCACACCCATATAGGGCAGATAAAATATGGGGAGGGATATCCTGGTTGCCAAGGATTCCCCTTGAATTAAGATCTCAGCCCTACACCAGGTCCCCAGCCCAGGGTTCCAGTGCCAGAAGAGTACTCCCATTATAACTTCTGGCTGTACCAGCCGACAGGGATTGTGACTGAGTGACATGAAGGGCTTCTGGAGTCCCAAGCACAAACTTACTCACACTCACTCCCTTTCAGCTCCAGCATGGGGCAGCAGCTTGAAAGGTGCCAGGGACAGCTTTCGAAGTGCTGGCAAAGGCCATTGTTTCTTTTCTGAGCTCTCCTCCGAGAGCTGACAGGTGGGTACCATATCTGAGTCTCCATCACCCTACCCTGGCTATCAGTGTTCCCCCACCACCACCCTGGTTATTTCCTGAGACCCCACCCCAACCAACTTACCAGTGACCCAAGATATTTCCATGGCTTTTCCATAGGAACGGCCTGTCTTGGCTCATGCTTTAGGTCTTCCTAAAATCTCTCAAAACAAGCAGTATCTGACCTCTGCATGCCTCAGAACTCTAAGTGGCCCCAGACCCAGCACTAGCAGCAGGGGCCTTGGTTTGCAGCCAGGCCTCTCTTGGGCACCTCCAAGCCTGTAGAAGTAGCAGCCATCTGCAGAAGTCTTTATAGGCTCAGGCCAGGTGGCCTTGGGCAGAATACAGGTGGCAGCTGACTTCTGACAGCACCCCCCAGGAAACCACAGAGCCAGACACCTTCAGACCACAATGAAGAACCATCCAATCACCTCCACAAACAACACACTCAAAATGCAAACTAAGTGGGCACCAGAGCCTTACAGAAGTAAGTCCTGCTCCATGGGGTGGGCCCCTGCAGAGCTGATCCCCAAAAGTCCTCAGTTGTCACAGACAGTACTTGCAGCTGATCAGCATAGGGGTAAACCCCTCCCATTGACATGCCAATAGCAGTCAAGGCTCAGCTACAAGAGGAGGGTGTACACAGCCCACAGCGGAGGTATACCAGTAGTGCCCAGCTTGGTGAATAAAAAGGCTATTCCACCAGACTCTACAGGACACCTACTGCATTAGGCCACTCTAACAAACTCTGGAGACACAGGAGCTCTACCTAATACATAGAAACAAACACAGGGAGGCTGCCAAAATGAAGAGACAAACTCGTCCTAAATGAAAGAACCGAGCTCTAGAAAAAGAACTAAACAAAACAGACAGGGAAAGTACTAGATGCAGAGTTCAAAACTATAAGGATGCTCAATGAACTTGGAGGAAAAGTAGATAAACTTAGAATTTTAATTTTTTTAAAAAGATTTTATTTATTTTTAGAGAAGAGGAAGGGAGGGATAGAAACACCAATGTGTGGTTGCCTCTCTCACACCCCCGCCTGGGGACCTAGCCCACAACCCAGGCGTGTGCCCTGATTGGGAATCAAACCAGTGACCCTTTGGTTTGCAGGCTGGTAATCAGTTCGCTGAGCCACACCAGCCAGGGCAGTGACAACTTTAATGACATAAAAAAGGACATGAAAACCATAAAAAAGAACCAGTCAGAAATGAAGGATGCCCTAATTGAAATGATGAATAATTTACAGGGAATTAATAAAAGATTAGATGAACCCAAGAATCAAATCAGTGATTTGGAATATAAAGAAGCAAAAAACTCCACCTAATTAGAACAGCAGAAAGAAAAAAGAATCCAGCTCTGAATGGTGTGACTCAGTTGACTGGACCTCATTCTGCAAAGCAAAAGGTCACCAGTTCAATTCCCTATCAGGGCACACATCTGGGTTGTGGATTTGGCCCCTGATCTCAGCACATACAAGAGGCAACCAAATCGATGTTTCTCTTTCATGCTGATGTTTGTTTCTCTCTCTCTCTCCCTCCCTCCCTTTCCTTCTCTCTAAAAAAAATAAAACTTTTTAAAAAGAAACAATCCAAAAAAAATGAGGACAGTGTAAGAAGCCTCTGTGACAACTTCAAGTGTACCAACATTCATATCATAGGGTGCAAGAAGAGAGAAAGCAAGAAATTGAAAACCTATTTGAAAAAAATGACAAAAAGCTTCCCTAGCCCCGTAAAGGAAATAGATATACAAATCCAGGAAGTACAGAGTCCCAAAGAAGATGAACCCAAAAAGTTCCATACCAAGACACATTATAATTAAAATGCAAAAAGTTAAAAACAAAGCATTGTAAAAGCAGCAAAAGAAAAGCAATTATCTATGAGGGAGCTCCCATGAAACTGTCAGCTAATTTCTCAATAGAAACTTTGCAGGCCAGGAGACACTGGCAAGAAATATTCTAAGTCACAGGTGGCGAACACAAGGCCTGCAGGCCGAATCTAGCCCTCCACCTTGTTTTATCCAGCCCATACCTTGTTTCCACCTGGCAGCAGCGCCAAGCTCTCAACTGTTAAGCAGTAGTTACATTTACACAATCCTAAAATTACATTAGGCCCTTTGAAGACAACCTCCAGGCTGATGTGGCCTCGGGTGAAAATGAGTTTGACACCCATATTCTAAGTGATAAAAAGCAAGGACCTACAACCAAGATTACTCTACCCAGTGAAGCTATCATTTAACATCAAAGAACAGATGAAGAGCTTCCCAGACAGGAAAAGCTAAAGGAGTTCATCACCACCATGACATATACTTTAAGAAGAAAAAAAAGATAAAATATGAACAATAAAATGGCAATAAACACATGTCTATCAACAATTCAATCTAAAAAAAATAAGGCAGAACAGAAAGACAGAGAACCTTCTGATGGTTGCCAGTGGGTGAAAAAGGTGAAAGAATTAAGTACAAATTGGTAGTTACAGAATAGTCATGGGGATGTAAAGTACAGCACAGGGAACACAGTCAGTAGTATTCTAATAACTACGTTGGTGTCAGATGGGTATGAGATTTACCAGGATAAATACTTAGTAAATTATATAATGTCTAATCATGGGTTATACACCAAAAGCTAATGTAATAGTGTATGTCAATTCTAATTAAAAAACAATAATGATTTTTTAAAAGAAAGATTATAAAAATTAAAAATAAAGGGCAGACTGCCAACAGAAAAGGAATTAATCTCATTCAGGCAACTCTAAAAGGCAGAGAGAGAGAGAGCTAGAAGTTAAAGGAAACTGGCTTCAGTTCAATATAATGAATTAACAATTAGAGGTTATTTATAAATGGAGCTAGCTTCTTTGATAAGCTGGTGAACTTCCAAAATATATTCAAAAAAAGGCACCCAATAAGGAAAGGAAATTGCAAACAAAGATGAAAGGAAGACTGACTGACTGACCTATTAAGATCTGTTCCAGCCATAGGAAAGTAGCAGTATGTGACTGTTCTCACAAATATACACTCAAATCTTATGGAGACCAATGATCACACATAATCACAATCACTTCACATCAGTAGTTAAGAGGCCTAGGTGCATCTTTCTGAAACATGCCTCTAACTTTTATACTTGGTACCTGAAATACTGTGCCAAGTATAAAGTCCTACATATAATGGGGGAAAATTAATATGGAAGGTAATCTCGTTCACTGGTTTAAAGTATTTCAAACTCTCTCATAACTATATCCTTGCAAGTCCTAATTTGGAGTACCAAGTATGTTAACTTACATTCAAACCCACAATTCTTTTGTAATGTACCTTTTCCCCACCTCATCAGAGTCTTATATGGAAGGGGAGCAACTAAAAAAAAAAATTACCTCTCTGAGGTATGTCATATCATCAGTAACATCTGTATACAGTAGCCCCTGCCCCCTTATCCATGGTTTCATTCTGTGGTTTCAGTTATCCCCAGACAGCTGTTGTCCAAAACTTTAAATGGCAATTCTAGAAATAATTCGTAAGTTTTAAACTGCATGCCACCTTGAGCAGTGCAATGAAATGTCACATCATCACAGTCCATCCCACCCTTGACCTGAATCATCGCCTTTGCCCAGCCTCTCTACCTCACTTCATCTCATCAGGAAGACATTGTATTATCCCACGTTATCACAAGAAGGGTGAATATTAATACAATATGATATTTTGAGAGAGATGACATTCATGTATCTTTTACCAGAGTATATAGTTAGCATTTTACTGTGCCTTATTTATAAATTAAACTTTATCACAGGTATGTATATACATATAAAAAAACCACAGTACATGTAGGGTTCTGTACTGTCTGTGGTTTCAGGCATCCCCTTAAGGTCTTGGGAGAGGCCTATCATACTGCCCAAAAGTTTACAAAGGGCTTTCATAAACATTATCATACACACATACACAGAGCTACTAGATTTGGTTCTTACAACTACCTTATGAGTTAGCAAATCAAGTATCCTCATACGCATTTCAGAGATAATAAACTGAGTCTCAGCAAAAAGGCTGAAGTTAATCCATGACTTTCTAAATAGTAAATATCAGAAAGAAGATAACAAATCCAAGTCTTCTGACTGCAATCCAGAACTCTGTTCAGTGTATTATCAAAAGAACAGTCACTAGTTTTCTGTGTTATCGCATACTAATAGCCAGTCCCAAAAGATACCCAGAAATTAATAGTTTTAAAGACCACAGACATGACACACCAGTAGTCCCAGACTCATGCAACTGTCTATTTTTAATGTGGGGTTGTGGCTATAAGGACAGACAAGGCGGCTAGGCACAAGGACATAAAATATTGAAGACAGAGCTATGGGTCATTTGGTTCTGATAGGAACTGTAGATTAGTAATTAAATCAGCATCTATTTTTCTGAGCTGTAAAACAGGTTAGAAAAGCTAAGCTCCTTTTCAACAAAATTCTAAGATTTGGTACATACTATCTAATACATACAAAAGAACTAAATAAATACAGTTGACCCTTGAATAAAACAGAAACTTAGAGCGCCAACCATGAGCTCAGTCAAAAATTCACAAATAAATTATGTCTGCCCCCAACACATGTGGCTTCCCAACTGTAAGAAGACCCTTGAACAATGCAGGTTTGAACTGCATGGGTCAATGAGCTGCACACATCAACTGAAAAAACCCATGTATAAGTGGACGTGCACAGTTAAAACTCACGTTGTTTGAAGGTCAACTATTCAACTTAGCCACATATAAAGAAGCTTTCCCTAGGTTTTCTTCTCATGTTCCACAATATTTAGCACAGTAAAAGACATAGAGAAAATGCTCATATACTTTCGATAGAAGGCAAGGTAAACTTTAACTTAGACTCTACTGATAAAAGCACAAACGAAGACATGGGGTGGGTGGAGGTGGTAGAGGGTAAAGCAAGGTAAAAAATACAATAAAATACAGTAAGAAATAAACTTAAAAGCAAAAAAGTAGTAACTAGGACCAAGTTTGACTTAAAACATGTACTTCTCTGCTTTTATGAATAGAAAATTCAATGAGGAAGGGTAGTCTTAGAGAAATCATTTTTAATCTGAACAGTTCTTATTCTATACTCTTTGACAGATACATGGTTAAGATACTATAAATTTAACTGTTACTATATTAAAAAATAACAAATACATTTTAAATTTACCAAAAATAATTTCAAAAATACTTCTAGTCCAAAGATTACTTACTATTTGAAGCTTGATTGTTTTCCCATCTAACTCTATAGTTCTTATTTTGAAATCCACACCAATAGTGCTAATGTAGCTTTCTGTATACGTATCATCCTGAAGGGATAAAAAGTTAATGATTAATGTTCAATACACTAAATAAAATAATGTTAACTTGTATATACAAAGCTGATATGGCTAAAAGGCATAGCATGTTGAGGACAACCACTTCATCCTGCTCCAGTACTCAGTTCATATTTTGATTACAAAATACTATTTAAAAGTAGTCTCTTCTTAAGACTTTTTCAATAGTTATTCTTAATTTTTCGACATATTTCTTGGCAAATTCTTATATAGAAAAGTGTTTTATATTTACAATGATTATGAATGATTTTCCTAATTACTAACTAATTAGTGAACTCTAGCTCCCCTCACCCCCAAATCCAATTTATTCCCCATGAAGTAATGTCACTCTCCTCTTCTGGATTTTTTTAGAAGTCAATTTTATTTCCTAGTTATGACTTTTTTGAATTCTCACAATATAAAATGTACCCTTTTAAAGTGTGCAATTCAGTGGTTTTTAAGTATATTCATATGGTTGTGCAACCATTACCATTATTTAACCCCAGGATATTCCCACCACCCTGTGATGAAACCCTGCACCCAGCAGCAGTCACTCTCTATTTCCTTCTCTTCCCCTAGACTTTGGAAACCACTCATCTACTTTATGTCTCTATGGATTTGCCTCTTCTGGACATGTCATATGAATGGAATCATATGACATGTGGCCTTTGGTGTCTGGCTTCTTTAACTCAGCATAAAGTTTTCCTCCTTTTTATGGCTGAATAATATACGTTGTATGGATACACCACATTTTATTTATCCATTCATCAGTTGGTGAACATCTGGGTGGTTTCTATTTTTGGCTAATATATATAATGCTGCTGTGAACGTCTGTGTACAAGCTTTTATGTGAACAATGTGTAACCCATGTTAAACTTTTAAAATTATACTTGTTTTTCTCAAGAATCTGTTATGATACTTTACTCCAAATGGAAACAAAACTTTTAATGTTTGTGAAAAAATGTATGAATGGAGAGATCAGGCTATCACCACCTAAACCCAATGAACAATCTTAGTGAGCAGAAAGCATCACCTACTAAGTCTTCTGCCAACAAAGATGGGCCTAAATCTAATCAAAACTAAATCCATTAAGAGAAGCAATATCAACAGAACTTTCTTTGATGATGGAAACATCCTACAAGCTGAGCTAGTCAATTCAGTACCCACTAGTCCCAAGTGGCAAGTGAGAACAAGGAAATGAATGTTTAATTTTATTCAACTTTAGTCAGTTTAAACTTAAATAGCTGCATGGAGCTAGTAGCTACCATAAGGATAGCAGAGCTCTGGAGGTTTACTTCCAATTACAGAAACATGAGGGATTTGAACAACTGAAAGGCACCACAAGGAAGCAAGGTGGCAAATCTAAAATGCTGGACAATCTATAGGAAAACTGCCCTGGTTTCTGCAAAAAGTAAAGGACAGGAAAACATAAGTAAAAACGCCAGTTTGGAAAAACTCTAGATTTAGAGATGAAGCAGCAGAACAACCACAATATGTGGACCATGTTTGAATCCTGATTCAAACCAACCATAATACCAACACTTCTGAGACGATCAGAGAAAATTATTCTTCTAGCTAATAATGGCAATGTTATTTTATATAAAAATGTCCCATTTTTGGAAAGTCATACTAAAGTATGTAGGGGGGGAAAACAATACTTGCACAATTTGCAATACAACACTACAACAGAGAAGGGGAAGAAAGGATTAAATGAAGCCAGTGTGGGCAAGTCTTGATGATGCTGAATCTGATACACACACGAGATTGAAGAAAATCTCTAAGAAAATTGTAAAATGTGACTGAGGGAGGGAGTTTTGTTAGAGACATTTATAAATGCTTTGCTAGAATATTTATAAAATCCCTAAATGACCCATACTGCATGGCTCTGAGCCACTGTACATGCTCTTCCTTTTGTCCAAATTCTCAGTTATCTTTCTGCACACCCCCTACTCCCCCAGCCCCTGGGTCACATGGCAATTTTTATTCACTGTTCAATTCTGAGCCCAGGCAATAGTAATTGTCCAAACATTCTCCAACTCCTCAGACAATAGCTCCTCAGACAAGAGATCATTCCCTCTTGTGCTCCCATAGCTTGTCATACATTTTGTTCTAATACCTTTTGTACCTTTGTGTATTTTGGGGATCTACAAATTAGGATTTTTATAAATGCTTCTGGGTGACTTTACTGTGGGGCTACTAGTGAAAACCTATAACTTAGATCAATAGGCATCTCAGAGAGGATTTTCTATGAAACACAAACATATAGCCATACAGCCACTTTCATCAAGAGATGGCTGATCCTTCCCACCTACCCAGAACTGCTGATTTAATACTAGGAGTTATTCTTAATTTTAATATTTTCCAATTTAATAAATATTAAGTAAAATCCACTTTTAAACCTTTAGTCACAAATAAAATGAAATATCTTTTTCATATTCACTGGCAATTTGTATTTCTTTTTTTGTGACCTGCCCCTCATGTACTTGCACATATTTCTATTAGGACAAACACCCGTTTCTTATTAATGTATAAGTGTGCTTTATAAGTTGAGAATATTATCCCTTCCTCATATATATATTTTTGGCTAGTACCATCTGTCTTCTAATGTTTTTATATGCTTGCCATTAATTTTTATGCAATCAAATTTAATAATCTTCATAATTTTTTGTTAGAAAATATGTCCACACATATTAAAGAATCTAGTGCTCCATGATTTCACTTTTAACTATGATATATAATGAAATTATCTTTTAATGACATTCATTAATATCACTGTCCATCTCATCAGAAAAGTCATATTTAGTATTTGAAATGCTGTCAAGTTCACAGTGGTAAATTACAAGTTTTCTAAAACTCTAATTTTTCTCTGAAAGCTTGAATTTTATTACAGGTAGCAAATGCTGTCAGATATTTTCCTTGAACAATCTCAGTTCATTTGAGAAAATGTCTGCCAATATCCAATTCTACACAACTTAGTCTATCAGTTGTTCTTTCAAGTAAAAAAAAAACTTTTCCTCAAGTCAACCACACCAAAACACTCTAGTTAAGCAGTAAAAGTGCTTTATGCGTACTCCTCACTTCTTCACAATGCGATATTTAAAAAATGAACTAGATTTTTTAAACTTAATTATTTTTACTATTTCATCAAAGACACTCTTAAGTTAAAATGGTGTTTTCCTCCTGGTGAGTGAAGAAAGGTAAATAGCATGACTATGAGCACAGTGTGGGGCTTAGCACAGCCTTGACATGGTGTGTTAAGGTGCCACCGGTTTCACACCACCATTGCTTTTGCATTATCAGAGCAAATGTCAACACAGTGAAAAAAGCAAATGTCTTTATCTTTAGTACTAAGTAATTATTTACTAAGTAAATACTAAGAGCTTAGTATCATTAGAATAATAGTTTTGATCTCATGAACAACCCCCTAAGAGGGTCTCAATAATCCTCAGGGATCTTTACTCCATACTCTAAGAACCATGATCCACACAGCAAGATGGAAAACATGAAAAATTTGAAGGCAGTCAACATGCTTATTACAGAACACAATACCACTGTCAAAAAACGGTTCGTACTAGACCCTGCATTTCCTTTTTGTTCTGCTAAACTTTTATTTGAAAATTAGTTTTCCATCAAGTCATTTTCAACATAGGCCAACTATTTTCCATTTACCTCACTATCTATGTTCAAGTGAAACATTGTCTGAGCTCTATCAAGAATATCATTTTGACTTTATAACCACCCTTTGTTGACTTTCTTTTAAGAACAACAGCATTTTTTAAATTTAAGGCTCCAAGATATCACTAAGGATGTATACTTGAAGACTTTAATCTATAAATTCTGGAAGAATTAATTTATTGTGAGTAAAACTTTAATCTTTTGTCTATCTAGACAAAAGATTACAGTATTAATTTCTTTAAAAGTATTTCAATTTCAACTTACTGCAAACCTAAGGAGGAGGCAAGACTTTCCAACTCCAGAGTCTCCAATCAGAAGCAACTTGAATAAATAATCACTGCAAAAAGAAAAAACACATTAATAAAAAGCATATTTCTGCAACAAAAATATAGCAAATTCTGACAACAAAAACATAGCAAGAATAATAAGCAGGTCACTAAGGAAGACTACAGCTCTTGAAAAGTCCACAAATAGCTTAGCAGAAGCCAAAATTGCAATCAAGTCCTTTTGCAGAAATCCTTTTGCAACCAAGTCCTTAGCAGAAGTCCTTTTGATGAATCATTGAACATGACAAAATTACATAAAGGTAAGACAGGCAATGTGTCCCCAATGGTCTCTAAGATCAGTGAACTACTTCCAAGGAAAGAATGAAAGGAAACATAAGTGATATGCACTCCTGGAGAGCCCAAGAAACTGTTGGATAAATCCCACTCCCTTTGCAGCATTAGAATTACAGGGAGTATTCTTGCCAATGAAACAAGTCTCTCCTCCTAATTCCAAGATCAAAACATTATTTCATAGCAATCTTCCAAGGGGCTTTCATGATCCTTTCCTAGCATCCATCTAGAAATTCTTCCTTAAAAAAAAAGGGGGAGGGGGGCCATTTAACTTCAGTAAGCCTGTATTGTAAGTATTTTAAACTGAAGATGTGGTAAACTCAAAGGTGGTTTATACAATATGCAAAGGCACAAATTGACAAACATTCTAAGCCTGTATTAAAGCACTCTTCAGAGCCCTAGCAGGGCAGTTTAGTTGGTTAGAGCATCGTTCCCACCAAGGTTCACTCCCTGGTCATGTCATATACAAGAATCAACCAATGAATCCACAGGTAAGTGGAACAACAAATCAATGTCTCTCTTTCTCCCTTCCTCTCCTTTAACAAGTCAAAGTCAGTAAAGCATTCTTCAGAAAATACTGACATCTAGGCTTTGTTTATGTACATTGACCATTGCCAGGTCTGACTCAAAACCACCCGTGGGTTTTTCTTCACAGACCTGAAGACAAAAAACTACCTGCCCACGGTCTCCAAAGGAATCCTTCATAGATCCTTTCTAATTCTGACCAGTTCTAAGTGTTCTTCTACTATGTAATTTCAAAAAGATTTTTTTTAAATCTAGAATTTACAGTTTATTATTTTAGAAGATAAGCATGCATTTCAATTTTGTTCTTTGTGATTGTTTTTTAAAAATGCTACCTACTTAAGGTGAAACCCAAATACCATTCACAATTTATTTCTTTTTAAGATTTTATTTTTATTTCTATTTACAGAGAGAGGAAGGGAAGGAGAGAAACATCAATGTGTGGTTGCCTCTCGTGTGCACCCAAGTGGGAACTTGGCCTGCAATGCAGGCATATGCCCTGACTGGGAATCGAACCAGCAACACTTTGGTTCGCAGCCCGCGCTCAATCCACTGAGCTACGCCAGCCAGGGCTCATTCACAATTTAAATTAGATTACAATTAATCATGATTACAAGCAAGATATAAAACTTTTAACAGTGATTATCTTTGTGGATATTCATCAATTATTACCCAGGTTTACAGTGATATATATTATATAAATTTATCTTTTTGGTTATATTAAGTTACTATGATATACTTATTGTCCCTAATCATATCTCAAGGAAAGGGGGAAAAATCCAAAGTGCTCTAGTCAACAGCAAAATAAGTCATAGCCCTATGCCTGGATTGCAGGTTCCATCCCCAGTCAGGGAGTATACGAGAGGCAACAGATCAATGTTTCTCTCACACATGGACACATGGATGTTTCCCTCCTTCTCTTTCTCCCTCCCTTGCCCTCTGTCTAAAGGTAAATAAAATCTTTTTTAAAAAGAGGAGATTAAAGCACAGAATGAACTAAAAAATAGCCTTTCCAGTTTGACATACTAAAGAAAACAGGGAAAGGTAATGACTGTGAAATTTTACCCTTAATAATTCATACATAATACCATACAATTTTATTAGGCAGTACAGTGACTGTAGCACTATCGACAGCTTCCTCCTTAATTAGACTAAGTTCTTAAGAATGCTGTACACTGACATTAGCAATGAGTATGTTGAGAATTTACATTTTATTTAGCAAGAATAATCACACCATTAATACTACTATATTAATTTTTCTTTTTAAGTATAGTTTATGGCTATTATAGTTTTCCTAATTTTTTTCTCCCCTTTATCCCTGTTCTGCCCTGCATTACCCCCACCCTCCAGTATTCCCCTCCTTAGTTCATGTCCATGGATTGTACATCTAAGTTCTTTGGCTTCTCTGTTTCCTATACTATTCTTAACCACCACCACCCCTCTATTTTATGCCTACCAATTATGCTTCTTATTCCCTGTACCTTCTCCTGATTCTTCCCCTCTCCCTCCTACTCATAACCCATGTGATCTCCATTTCTGTGGTTCTGTTCCTGTTCTAGTTGTTTCCTCAATTTTTGTTTTCTAGGTTCATTTGTTGATAGTTGTAAGTTTGTTCTCATTTTACTCTTCATATTTTTTTTACTTTTTTTAAAAATTTTACTCTTCATATTTTTAATCATCTTTTTATTTCTTAGATAAGTCCCTTAAACATTTCATATAATAAGGGCTTGGTGATGATGAACTCCTTTACCTTTACATTATCTGGGAAGCACTTTATCTGCCCTTTCAATAGCTTTGCTGGATAGAGTAACCTTGGATATAGGTTCTTGACTTTCATGACTTCAAATACTTCTTTCCAGCCCCTTCTTGCCTATAAGGATTGTTTTGGGAAATCAGCTGATAGTCTTATGGGAACTCCTTTGTAGATAACTGTCTCCTTTTCTCTCGCTGCTTAAAAGATTCCCTCTTTGTCTTTAATCTTGGGTAACTTAATGATGTGCCTTGGTGTGTTCCTCCTTGGGTCCGATTTATTTGGGACTCTCTGGGCTTCCTGGAAGTCTATTTCCTTTGCCAATCAGATTGGGGATGTTTTCCTTCATTATGTTTTAAAGTAAATTTTCAATTTCTTGTTCTTCCTCTTCTTCTTCTGGCCCCCCCATGATTCGGATGTTGGAGTACTTAAGGTTGTCCCAGAGGCTCCTAAACCTCTCCTCATCTTTTTGAATTCTTGTTTCTTCATTCCATTCCAGCGAATGTTTATTTCTTCCTTTTGTTCAAAATTGTTGATGTGAATCCTGGTTTCCTTCCTGTCATTGTTGGTTCCCTGTACATATTGCTTTATTTCACATTGGGTAGACTTCATTTGTTCCTTCATTATGCCACCGAGTTCAATCAGTTCTGTGAACATCCAGATCACCAGTGTTTTGAACTCTGCATCAGATAGGTTGTCTAGCCGGAGAGTAATCTTAAGGTTGTAAAAAACATGAACGCTTCTTAATAATTGTTACAAATTACATTATGGTATCAAGAAATTAACAGAGCATTTGAGACCTTGCTTCACAGCATACGTTGTCAGCTTGGCTCAAATAAACTCTTATGAAAATTCCCAACAGATTTGAGAGGGAAAAAAAATTAATACTCAATTTTTTTAAATCACCTTTCTCAATTATAAATAATATGAAGAGTTGAGTACTCTTCTCTACAACGGGATAATCATTGCTAAACAAGACCACAGTTAACACAGGTTTGAATTGTATGGGTGCTTCTACATATGGATTTTTAAAATCCACATTGTCCATGGGTCGTGTTTTTAATCAGATGGGAATCTGCATATTAAGTTATATGCAGATTTTATATTGTGCCAAAGTAGGTGCCCCTAACCTCCCCACTGGTTCAAGGTTTAACTGTATTTTGTTCTCACCCAACATGATAAAAGACATGGAGAATGGCAAACAAAGTCAAACTCACAAACTTCTTCTGTTTATTGAATACACACACCTAGAGAATGTTACTTACATGTTACCTGTATTGGGACATTTTAAATAACCTACTACTATAGCACCTTATTTCTAAACTATTAATACACCGAATGTTCAAGATAATTCAGAGATTTGAGACTGCTTGAACATATTTCTGCCCTGACTGGTGTGTGCCTCAGTGGGTGGGGCATCAGCCTGCAAACTGAAAGGCTGTGGATTCGATTCCCAATTGGAAGCATGGGAGAGGTGAATGATCGATCGATGTTTCTCTCACACATCACTGTTTCTCTTTGTTCTTCCCTTCTAAATAAATAAATAAGTAAAATTTCTATGCCTATAATTTTCATAACAGAACACAGAAAAATATAGGCAGACAATATGCAAATCTAAAATTAGAAAACACAAGGTCAGAATTTTGGTACAAAGATCCAAGAATACTACAGCAAATGGTTTAAATATACAGTCAGTCATATCTCAGTACTAGTCAGCTTCAGAACTCATCAAACCCTGTACTCGTCTCATTTTGATGAGAAAAAAGTGTTTCAGCACTCAGCAGTTGAGCTTGCTCAGGACTCAGGACTTTTCTTACTTGCCAGAACCTGTATGAATCACAGTACTGCCCCGCAAGAGATAATGCTTCATCACTCAACGCTTGCTTGGTACTCGTCACAAGTTCAGGAACAAATTAATCACGAGTACCGGGGTACTGCTGTATTTTTTCCTTTATTCCCCAAGAATTTGGATTAGGTTTTCAGTCTACAATGTAATTGTGACTTAAGTGACAAAACTGGATTACTCTATATCAGAAATCTATAGCTACAAATGTAATCACCATTCTCATATATTAGATTATTCTAGTAAATCCTATCCATTGCTCTCAAATCAGAACTTCCTCTGGTCTTTTTCATGTCTAATTTGCTATAACCTTCATACTCTCTCCCCCTAAGTCATCTGGAATCTACTTCTCCACAACCTTGAGTTTGACATACCTATCTGTGAGTGTGAAAGTCAACTGACTTATTAGTGTATCCAAAATCTAGCACAGTGCCTTTTACAAAGCATGTGCTAAGAAATCAGAGGACATTTTAATCTTGCATTTTTAATCAGCCTCTTTCATGGTGAGATACAGTTAATGAATATCTATAGCCATCCTTAATTAACATTTTGGGCAAAATACTAGAGGGAAAAAATGGATGGGGACATGTTCAAAGGACAGAAGA